ATAAATTCTGTTTTGATGGGTATTATATCTTTCTGGACAAGAATTTTCATACTGCCCAAGCAAGTCATGAAAAGAGTAATGGCAATTTGCAGAAATTTCCTTGGGGGGNATTAGTTAAATGGGAAGAAGTCTGTAAACAAAAAAATAGGTAGGGTTGGGGATTAAACATGAAGCTAACTGGAACAAAGCCTCCATAATGAAACTGCTTTGGGATGTTGCTGAGAAGGACATATTATGGGTAAAGTGGATCCACAGTAGGTATATCAAGGATGAAGATATCTGGGAATATACTCCAAAGATGGATGCTTGTTACTACTGGAGAATCATGATTAAAGTAAGAGATACTTTCAAGGATATGGCAAAAAGAGGTACATATGATACTAAGGAAGGATATGAGTGGCTCCAAGGGGAAGGGAGCACACCAAGTTGGAAGGGACTGGTCTGGAATAAACTAACCCCCCCAAAGTTCCAGTTTATTACTTGGCTATTACTGAAGGGGAGATTGCAAACAAAAAAAAGGATGAGCAGATTTACTCCTATCAATATGGACTGTGTTTTGTGTGGGCAAGGAATGGAAACGGAGCATCATTTATTTTGGGATTGCCAGACTACACAAAGGATATACGGAGAATGTTTCACTCATTACAAGATGCAAATAAAAGTGGGGAGCTTACAAGAATTGGAGGGTTGTGTAAAGAAGACAAACATGAAGAAAAGAAGACTCCAAATGATGGCAATCTGGGCTGGGTGTGTATACGACATATGGAGGATGAGAAATGAAGAATTCTAACAAAACTGATCTGTGTTTCATTAATCGTAAACTGATATAAATACAAGTGCAGGAATGGGCTTAGCCCAATATGCTACAGTGAAACCTATATACAAATATCCGCTAACACTCCCCCTCAAGTTGGCGCATAAATGTCATGAATGCCCAACTTGCAAAGTAAGAAATCAAAAGCAGGTTTAGACAAGGGTTTAGTAAAAATGTCCGCTAACTGATAACGAGTAGGAACGTAGCGTGTGGACACCTCATGACGCTGAACAAATTCACGAACCGTATGACAATCAACATCAATATGTTTCATACGTTCATGAAAGACGGGATTCGCTGCAATGTACAGAGCTGATTGATTATCACAATATAGTCTCGGAGGGTACAAAATCGGCACATCAAGAGCTTTCAGAATACCAAGCATCCAGCGAATTTCAACACAAGCGTTTGCCATGGCCCTATATTCGGCCTCGGCGGAAGAACGGGCAACAATGGTTTGCTTCTTGGTCTTCCAGGAAATAGGAGAAGTACCCAGCATGACAAAATATCCGCTAACAGACCGGCGTGACATCGGGCAACTGGCCCAATCAGAATCACAATATGCGGAGATTTGTAAATTACTTGTAGCACTCAATAGAATGCCTTGGCCTGGATGACCCTTAAGATAACGGAGAACGCGCATAGCAGCGTTCATGTGATCAACTGTGGGTGCCTGCATAAACTGAGATAAAATATGAACAGCATAGCAAATATCTGGGCGAGTGATCGTCAAATAAATCAAGCGTCCAACAAGACGCCGGAACCGTGCTGGATCATGAAGAAGAGGGCTACCCGATGCATGCAAACCGTGAGAAGACGGGAGGGGGGTGGTCGCGGGTTTACAACCCAGTAAACCGGCCTCTTGTAAAATATCCAGTGCATACTTACGATGACATAAGACCATCCCAGAAGACGAATGAGCACACTCTATACCCAAAAAATATTTTACCGGGCCCAAGTCTTTCAGCTGAAAACAATGGTCCAAGTACCGTTTGAAAGAATCACACATAGAAGCATTATTCCCTGCAACTATAATATCATCAACATAAACCAAGACGGTCAGAATATCACTCCCCCTCCGAAGGATAAACAAAGTGTGGTCCTTATGAGCTTGTTTGAATCCCCAAAGACGCAAAGCAGAACTCAATTTGTGAAACCAGTTCCGAGGAGACTGACGCAAACCATATAGAGATTTACGTAAGCGACACACTTTGCCAGGAATAGAGAAACCCGGAGGCAACCGCATATAAATCTCATCATCTAAATCCCCATTTAAAAAAGCATTATTCACATCAAGTTGGTGAATAAGCCAACCCTTAGGAACTGCCACAGATAAAAGAATGCGTACCGTACCCATTTTAGCCACAGGAGCAAATGTGTCGGTATAATCAGTACCAAACTCTTGGTGATTACCCAAGACAACCAAACGTGCCTTATCACGTTCTTTTGTACCATCAGAGAGAAACTTCGTGCGATAAACCCATTGACACCCCAAGGCCTTCCGATCGGAAGGAAGATCTGTAATCTCCCACGTATGATTCTTTTCCAACGCCGTGATTTCCTGTTGCATGGCCAATCGCCAATTGGCATATTGCATAGCCTCCTTAAAATTCTTTGGCACCTCATTTGAAGAAACAGCAGCAAGATATCCTTTATACCTGTCATGTAATTTCTCATAATGAACAAAATTATGGATAGGATACCGAGTACCTTGAGAACTAGAAGAGGGAATGGAAGGAGCAACAGAAGTCATCGTCTGGGCTGTGTGACAATAGTAATCAGATAAGTGAGCAGGGGGTCGTCTAGAACGGACAGGAGGTAAGGGAGATGGCGATGGAGAACTGTCTAGAGCAGTCCCATCGTCGCTGTCATTAGAGTGGGAGGATTGCCCGGAGGACTCTGTCGACTGTTGTTGCGATACAGGTGTTGTGATTGGCTGGGATGAGGTCATGATGGTGGGTTGAGGTTCAGGTGAAGATGGGAAATCAGCATTAACCGGAGAAGGAGATGGTTCAGGCGGAGTACCATTGGCACGAGAAAGAGCAAACGGGAAGACGGATTCATGAAAGGAAATATCCCTTGTATGAAAGAAACGATGTGACTCAAGATCATAAACTCGCCAGCCTTTAGTGCCTGTAGGATAACCAACAAACATACATTTGACACTACGTGGATGAAATTTATTAGGTGGACGTTGTAGGTGACGAACAAAACATAAACACCCAAATACCCGGAGATGAGACAAGTCTGGAGGTTTTGAAGAAAGGAGTTCATATGGAGATTTACCTTGCAAAAGAGGAGTGGGAGTACGGTTAATGAGATATACTGCTGTACGTACACACTCCCCCCAAAATTCAATTGGCAAAAAGGCCTGAAACATAAGAGATCGGGCGACATTAAGGATATGACGATGTTTACGCTCGACCCGACCATTTTGCTGTGGGGTATTAACACAAGAAGTTTGAATCAAAACACCCATATCATTATAAAACATACGCAAGGGTTTATTGATCGAGAAACTCAGTACCATTATCTGAGCGCACAACCTTAATGATTTTACCAAACTGAGTTTGAATCATGGTAAAGAATTGTTTCAGGCAACTCGTAACCTCAGTTTTGTCAATAACAAGAAATACCCAAACAGCTCTAGAATAGTCATCAACAATGGTGAGAAAGTAATGAGCCCCAGTAGATATGCAAGCAGAATATGGACCCCATAAATCACAATGAATAAGATCAAATAGTGCATCTGCTTTATTAAGACTAGGAGAAAATTGGGAGCGAGTCTGTTTGGAAAAGAAACAAATATCACAAGACTGAAAATTTTTAATTTCAGTATTACTCTTATTAAATGGAGGTAGAGACAAAACTTGAGGAGACGGATGACCAAGACGTTGGTGCAATAAGGAAACAGACTCAGCTTTGGACGCTTGGGCGTGAGAAGGAAAGACATAGACTCCGTTGCGTGCTTCACATTAACCAATTCGCGTCTTCGTAGTTCGGTCCTATATCACACAAGAATGATTATCAAAGAAAACATGACAGTTATGTGAGTTGACAAGACAACTCACTGATATCAAATTGCACTTCAAATTAGGAACATAAAGAACATCGTGTAAAATTAAAGAAGGGGACACTTGCACCCGGCCACACGAATTTGCCACCACACGAGCCCCATCGGGCAAGCTTATAGTGCAAGGATGCCGCTGCACTATGTTAGTCAAACATGAAAGCATCCCTGTCATATGATGAGACGCACCACTGTCCACAAGCCACTCACAGGGCACATCAAGGAACATACCTTGTACCGTGTCCAACGAAGAAGGTGTTGACTTAATCATGGAGAGCAAAGAACTCACTAGAAAACAATAGTGCACCAAGAAAAGTAATTACTGGCAGCAGCACTTCAATCAAAACAAATTAGGCCGGGCACAAGTATTGGCAGCAACAGTCACGCAGCAAAAAAAAAATCAGCAGCACTTTAAGATATGCCTAACTTTGTGAACAGTACTTTAAAAAATCAGCAACCCTTTAAGAGTAATTCATAAGACCAATTCTTTAAAGACAAAATCAGCAACTTGGATCGGCAAATCGTGAACTTGAATCGGCAACAATCAGCAACTTGGATCGGAAAAAAAAAATCACCAACATGGATCGGCAAAATCAGCAACTTGGATCGGCGAAAAACAAAGGTATACAGCGTCGGACAATGGTACGCACACCGGAGAACAGAAGCGCAAAGAAGCCTAGGGTTTTCTAACAAAACTGATCTGTGTTTCATTAATCGTAAACTGATATAAATACAAGTGCAGGAATGGGCTTAGCCCAATATGCTACAGTAAAACCTATATATAAATATCCGCTAACAAGAAACAAGACTATCCATCAAAAAAATGCAATTTGGAGGATACTATAAATTTTATCTATTATTACATCAATAGTTATTTTTTGTATTTGAAGAAGCTGTAATAAGGAGGCTCTGATGTATTGTACAAAATTATGGTTGGTGAATAAAGTTGTGCATTTATATGTTCAAAAAAATAATAATAATAGGGGGGGGGTGGGGGTGGGGTAGCCCTCTAGTGGGCAGGGTGGACTACGTGTAGCCAGACATACCCGTGACGAACACTGGCATGTCAATGGTATATACACTCACGCCAATGACGCAATATAGCGAAAATGGGGAGGGCAATGTGGGCATTCCCCGCATTTAACGACCACCACCTGTCCCTTCTTCTTCTGCCAAGCGCTGAGTTGTCGAGCATCCAAATGAAATCAACTGAGCAGAAGCTCTCTCAGTGTCCGTGAAGCGCCGCATCCGCCAAATCAAGCCCCGACAAATCCCCACCGCACTCTCGCGGCGCCGCCGCCGCCGAATGTTTTTCTCTCTCATCCTCTTCCCCTTGGCCGTTTTTGAGGTATTATTCACTCCGCATCCTTCCAAATTTTGGTAACATTCACATGTAAACCATGGAATTCTCCGTACTTGTCATTTTCCTCCATCACCGCCTCCACGGCACTCTGCATCACGCAAGTTCATGATGGTATCAGAACCTGGAGAAATCCGTGTTTCCTGTGTGTTTCAATTTCACATATACGTATATACTCTTTCTATAATCAAGTTTATGTAACGTGCGTATATCAATTTTTCTGCACTTTTTTGCACTTCGCTTTGCTTGTTTCTGCGCATATTTTATGGATCCGGGGAACGATTTGCCTGATTTATCAGTTTATTGGAAAAGATTTCTGTTCATTGGAACTTCGAATTCCAGCAGAAAACTAAGATCTGAGAGATGAGTTCTTGACGACTTGACGGAATGACGGCTACGTTACTTTCAGTTTTTAGATGTCCCAATTTCATAGTTTTGATAAGGACTTTAGTCAAACAATATGTTGCTTTTTAGCTCTTTTAACTTTCTCAAACCCTTTTCGTTTCCCATTTGTGTGTGGCAATACAGAGGTCTCAATTAATTAATTAGTTAATTATCTAATTAATTGCCAAAACACTTGTGGTCAAACATGCACAATCGGCATGGTGACTTTTCCAAATGGAAAGTGAAAGGTTCGAACCTCTGGAGGAAGTAACTCAAGCTACTTTTAAAGTTGAGAATATATGAACTCATATTACATTGAAATAGAGTTATTTCTGTTAAAAAATTAATTAATTAGTTAATATTATAAAACAATTTTTTGTCCTGCACTTTTGCTTGCAGTGCCTATTAATTTATTAATGTAAGGATTAATAGAAAAGTAAATACGAAATTAATGTATTTTCTTTGTTGTTGCAGCTGAAGAGTGGTGATGTAATGGAGCTTGTTCATCTTTAACTACTTATAGATTTACCATTCGTGACTGTTGTCCCTGTTTACCAGTAGTTAATGAGAGTGACTTGAGTTTGACTCGTAATTATTTTGGGAAATCTGCTACTCAGAAAACAGAACTCCTAGATTGGAGTGAAAATGGCGTCGTGGGAGCATTTGGGGGACATAGCAACTGTTGCCCAACTTACAGGGGTCGATGCGTTGAAGCTAATTGGAATGATAGTGAAAGCAGCAAGCACGGCAAAGATGCACAAGAAAAATTGTAGGCAGTTTGCACAGCATCTCAAGTTAATTGGTAATTTGTTGGAGCAGCTCAAGCTATCTGAGCTTAAGAAGTATCCAGAAACCAGTGAGCCATTAGAACTGTTTGAGGATGCATTGAGGAGGTCCTATATTCTGGTTAACAGTTGCCAAGACCGGAGCTATCTGTATCTATTGGCTATGGGGTGGAACATTGTGTACCAGTTCAGGAGGGCTCAGAGTGAGATAGACAGATATCTGAAGATCATCCCCTTGATTACCCTTGTGGACAATGCTCGAGTCAGGGTACTGAAATTTCATCTCTCTGCTGTTTCTTTTTGGGATATTTATAGTCAATACCTTTTTATTTGGTTCACAGTGCAAACATTTCCTGCACCCAACATTCCACTAACCCCTTTTTCTACGTTTAGTTTAAAATTACAACTGATGGTATACCTAAACATACAAGTTTCATGGTGAACCGAGATTGCTATATGTTTGACAACTCCCTATTGGATTATTTCCTTGCTAACTTTCAGTTTCAGACTTAACTTGTCTTATAGTATAATCTGGAGCTGTGCTTCCAAGTTAAAATTATAGAATAAACCACATATTATGCCTGTACTAAAACCTGCCTGTGATTAACATCAATACTCATTATTGTTTATCAACTGTTTCCCCTGTAGGAGCAGTGATACACAGTCACTGTTGCTTCTTAATAATATTGATAATTTCTCGAAAAAGTAAAAAATGCAATCCCCACGACTAAATATCATGTGACTGATGCCTTTTCACGAATTTATAAGTTAGTAGTCACATAACTGGATTTGGTAACTACTACGTATTTAAAAAAGATAATGTGAAATACTCAAACTTAAATTTTACTATGAATTTTCACACTTTTCAATTTTTCATACACTAGTTTGAGGCGTGGAGACACAACCTGCAAATGTTTACGAGCTTTGTGTGCGTCTTTCATGTTGGTGTTATGATGTAGATGTGCACACATCCTCACAGCTATAATTCATTAATTAATGTACTATTCTATTATGTGGTTTGTACCTGAGTATGCACTACATTTAGGGACCACTTAGTAGAGTTTATATGAACTAAACTACTCAACTTATAACTACTGAATTGAAGTGAACTTATAAGCTAATTTCACCTGCTCTCAAACTCTGAAAAAGCAACTGAGAGCAATATGGGATGGAGGGAGTATATTGCAAGGGGTTTACTAATGCATAACCGCTTAAGCTACAGGAACTACCTTGCTTACTGTAGAAAATATTATTTCACTTATTGCGCTTCTAGGGTCTTAAATTAACTCTTTCAAAATAATTTTTGCAGGAGAGGTTGGAGATTATTGAAAGGGATCAGAGAGAATACACACTGGATGATGAAGACATGAAGGTGCAACAAGTCATAATGAAGCCAGAACCCTCTAAAGATGATACTTTTGTATTGAAGAAAACACTTTCTTGTTCCTACCCAAGCATGCCAATCGATGAGGCAATTCGGAAAGAAAATGAAAAACTTCGTATAGAGCTGCAACATTCACAAGCTAATTTAGATGTAAATCACTGTGAATTCATTCAGCATCTTCTTGATGTCACAGAAGTTGTTGCTGCTACTTCCCTTCCTGACAAAAGTTCGCTGGCTAAACCTCTCAAGGTGGAGCATGGCTATTCTGATGTTGATAGTAATAAGGAAACTTATGATGAAAGTTACAGAGCGAGTAATGATAAAAAATCAACTTCAAGGTAGTTTCTTCATAAAAATATGTTTTTTGTTTGAAGTAGAATGTAAACAGAGGTGCCTCGTTTTAGTTCCTTATGTGCTTAATCTAAAGGTTTTGGATGAATTGAACTATTTGTGCTCTATATGAAGTTCATCATGCATTCATGCCCAGTGGCAGTGGTCAGTCATTATCTTGTACTCCATTTGTCCCAATATCATCTTCCATGTTAAAATGGCACATATATTAAGAGTGAAAAGAAAGTTTTTAATGCCCGTACCTACCTTTTAGATTTAGTAAAAGTGGAGTAAAATGTCGTAAATATTTAGGTTGTTGAGGGTATACGTGTATTTTTGTCAATAAGTAAAATGTGTGCCATAAAAGGAAAATGAGAACATGATTTTGGGACATCCTAAAGTGGCAAGTGGGAAGATGGTTTTGGGATGGAGTAGCGTTTTAACTTGATGCTAGTTAGTGATTGTGTTCATTTTGTTTTTGCAGAAACACTTCTTCAGTTTCATCCAAACAGGACTTGTTATATTCTAAGGACTCACATGGATACGAAGGATGGCATTCAGATCTTTTGGGCTGTTGTTCAGAACCACTTCTCTGTATACTTCAGAAACTGCTCTATCTCATCTAATAAAAAATTTCATCTATTTCTTCCTAAGGAAGATATTTCTCAATAACCAAAAGTGTGATTGACAAGGATATTAATGAGCCAAGAGTTCTAGGTTGAGTCTGCCTCTACAAATGGTTAGGATAATATTAACATTAAGATAATATCTAAAATAGATATAATTAAAATTATTTACATGCCCCCGCAGTCGTAGGTAGAGATAAGCATAACGCTCTATCCAAACGCGTAGAAGATACATAAAGGTAGCCATTTGGTGAAGATATTTGCATATTGAGAAGACGAAGGAACATGTTGAACCCGTAGTTGCCCGAGTGCCACATTGTCACGGACAAACTAATTTTCTACCTCAATGTGTTTAGTACGTTGATGCTGAATAGGGTTAGTCGACAAACAAACAACACCGATGTTATCCTAAAAGACTATAGTTGCTGAACAAGATTAGTAATATGAAAGTGATGTACTGAAGTGACCCCACAATTCTTTGGTAAAACGTCGATCGACGGTTCGCTTGCGGCAATGAGTTTGCCCTTTGTATCCACCAAGGTAGAGATCCGTTTGCAAGGCTTATAACAATCCTCACCATAGCGTTCTTGACGACAGGAGTTAGGTCTCATCATAATCCATCGCATAGCGCTGATTGAACCCACGAAACACCATCGAGTGTTGTACGTGGAAATTTCACTTGTAAGACAAAATTTATGACAAAATAGCCATTTGCCAGTAATAACAATTAGATTGGGGGGGGGGGAAGCCTGGAGAGGTGGGGTACTGAATCTCATGTATTATTTTTTATTAAAATATTATATTCATCACACAGAATTGTACTGGTTTGGATCCTTGAAAGCACTACAGTACGTTAGGGGTAATAGAGAGACATAGGCGGCTGTGTTAAGATTTAGTGTGGAAAATTTCAGTTTTTGTTCTTGTGACCATGGGGTGTATAGGCATAGAGGTAGGTGCAATGGTGGTGGGTCATGATGGAAAAGTGGGGTTGGTTGAATGTAGCATGTATGTGGGCTGGTTGTCTAGCTTCAATATGGTAGTTTCGAGAATGTACGTCAATGCATGCTGAGTAATTACTATGAAGATGTGATGGAGGTGAAGCGGGATGAAATCGTCCTCCATGGACTCTAATAGCTTTGAATAAGATGGATGTTGTGGCTGGGAGAAAAGAAAAGCATGACTCGTTAAACACAACATGACGTGAGACAATTTTTTATTATGGACAATTCAAGGCATCGGTATCCGCGTTGGTTGGATAGCCAAGAAAACACATAGGGCTGGCTGAGCATGGAGAGTGTTTGCTTCAGGCAGTGGCATAGAGGTTGGGGACTTGGGGTATAGCACAGGCACCTGAAGACACAATAATGGGCATAGGATAGAGTTTGATGATAGAGAAGCTCATGGGGGGTAAGATTTTGGAGTGTTAGTGGATAGGATATTAAAAAAGATGTATGACCATATAAAGAGACTCAACCCAAAATTGTTGAGGTAAATTTACTTGAAAAGGGAAAGAACTATATTATTAATAGTGCGGACGGTGTGTTCAACCCTTCTGTTTTGTTGACTTGTACGAGGACAATTGGTGAGTAGCCAGTGGCGTGTTACAACCATAGTTGTGAAAAGCGCGACTGAGGCGCGCACCGTGTGAGGCACAGGGCTCTGCGCATTCTTCCCGGTGATGCGGGCAATGTTTGTTATGCGAGCGCATACCTGCACATCAGCGCAATAAGCGATGCGACTGGATGCGATAAAATGCACGCATCGCGAACATGAATTAATATTTTTTATTTATAATTTTTTTAGGGTTGACTCCGCCAAAAGTTTCACTTCTCTGCTTCATCTCGGTGTTTCTTTTTGCGGCTTCGTTTCTTTTGCCACTTTATCGCTAGGGCTTCTTCTCTCTGGATGGACTTCGCTTCCTCCCCGCATTGATTTTGCTTCTGCTCTCTTCGGATTCTCTATTTGCTTGCTTCACGTTTCTGCTTCTTTTATATTTTTTTCATTTTTTTAAATTGTGAGGCTTCCCCTTTTTTCCTTGTCTCTTAAGTTTTGTTTCTTCGTGTTCATACATGGCGCTATTTGGACTTTGCTTCTGGCACGTTTCAACTTAGTAAGTAAATGGGTTCTTTAATTTTTTTAAATCATGAGGCATTCCCTTTTTTTGTTTATCACTTAATTTTGTTTCTTTCCCTTCATATGCACTATTTTGACGGAGGAGTTTGGCTCAAAATTTGAGGCTTCACTCATTGTTTGATGTTCCACAAATCATTATTTGTTTGTGGCATGTTTTCTTGCCACTGGCTGCTTTTGTTCTTTGAACTTTAGGTTTTTTATGTCAATGGTACTGTCTGACTTTGATTTTTGGTTGCTTAAAGTTTATTACGCATATGTCTTTTTCACAATAATACACACACACACATGTGTGTGTGTGTGTGTGTATATTGTTGCTAATTTGCTACTACTCCATAACTTGTGCCTCATGTTCGTGATGCGCGCACATTAATTGCGCATCACTCATCGAGGCTCCAGACCCCCTTGGTGCATCTGTGCGCATCACGCCTTAAATAACTATAGTTACAACATTCTATTTAGTGTTACGTAACTTGTAATGCTCAATACCCGGGATTGCCATAAGTTGGTATGCATTAATTGAAATGGTTGTATGGAAATACGACTCGTAGTATAAAACGTTAAACAAATGTGCTTGCCTTAATGCAAACATGACACAATGAGGCCAAACAACCTTTATTACATCCCGATAAATGAGTATTAAATAGACCATGGAGGACAAGAGGGCTAGGATAGCTAAGCCACTGATGCCAAGTGGTCTGATCAGCGATGGTGACATGGTTGACGTGGTTGTTAGTTCGCGGGGCTTGAAGGGATAGAGAAGGCCTGAGCTATTGGGCTGATGACTTGTGGCTTGTGTATGTAGGTACTTCATAAAAAAACAAAGAGGGTCGAATTTAACTGTTGTTATCACGAGTAAAGTAATGTACAAACACAAGTTTTTAAATTATATAGGGAGGAACAATAACATTGTTAAGGGAAAACGGGGTTGATGTGTTAAAATGACGGGTCCCAGTTGTAGTACAAGCATTGGATACATTACTGAATATAATATGTGTGGGTGAAGACATAGCTTGATCAAATGCATGAGATAAAGTACCTAGACCTGGAGTGATGTAGTGGGAGGTGCTAGTGTCCATAAGCCAAGACTCAGAGGGTTTACAAAGGCTCATGGACTCAAATGTGTGGGAGAGGGATTTTGGGGTCTGGGTGGGCGATTGGCGAGGGTACGTGTAGTAGGCTTTTGGGGTCAGGGTGGTCAGGTGAGGGTAAGGGTAGTAGGCTGCAGAGTATAGTAGTATACATTGGGTATTGTGGGTAGGACCTGGTACGGGGAGAAAGGCATGGTATTTTCATAGGGTCAAAGCCAGAGGTGTTAGGATTTGGTAGTGCGGTGGTGGTGGAATATGCTTGTGCATGGTAAGGCATGGGTATGAGATTAGGATGATATCCCAGCATGCCCGTACTTGGTAGTTAGCCTCCACAGCTGCCGCATCTGCGTCGCCAACAGCCGCCGCCACGATATTGCTGCTGCTGCTGCACATTTCATGAAAATAGGTTCCGAGAAGCTCAAATGGATTGGATTGGAACAAGAACTTTGTTGTTGGAAATGGTGGTGAAAGCAAGGTGTGGAGACTTACTGCTGACGGTGGAGAGTTATTGGTGGTGGAGTGATGCAACTGTGGTGTTGTTGGTTGCGGCAGATGACACCATAATCAATAAGGGTGAGGAACTTTGAAAAGAGAGAGGCTGGCAGGAAGGGGGCGAGCCAATGGAAGAGTATGGCAGGGAGATTAGAGCGGATTGGAAGTTTGAGCAAGGGGATGCTGATGGGCAATTTGAGAGGTGAATGCGGTCCAAGGCTTTATACAAAAATGTGATGTACAAGGATATTTAAGGGCCAAGAGTTCTAGCTTGAGTCTACCTCTACAAGTGGTTAGGATAATATTAACAGTAAGATAATATCTATAATAACAATAAGAATTTTTTACAATGAATATAGTTAATATATTTAGCATGCCCTCACATCTAATCTTCTAACAAATTACGGTTACAGAGTATGCAGGTTTTCTCTAGGTCAGTTTGGATGGAGGGTTTTGAAGGGCCAAGTCTATATTTCCATATAAAATATGTTCGAGATTTAATAAAATGAAAGAATAAATATGCGATCATATAGCATTTTAACCACCCTTATCATTTTATAAAAAAAATTATTTATCAAGATAGCATGAGTCCCATTTATAAATGGAAACTCTACTGCCATTAACTTGCTTGCTCCTGCTTTTCTGCAGCATTGATAGAGTTGATCTAAACATAGCTGAGGACTGAATTGAGTTATCCCATATCATTTTTAATTATCTACTCTTTTTTGTAGGCATAAAAACCTCAATATTTCCTTGCGGGACATTTTCTAGAATTGCCACTGCAGCAACCAACAAACATATTTGTGAGTTGCTATGTAGATCTTGTGCTTGATACTGTATGAATAAATAGGCAAGGCTTTGTGGTTTGCTTTAGACCTGTCTGAAGCTTGCTTTAGTAATACTTCCTCTGTTTTAAAATAGATGCAACGGCCAAAGTTTTACACTATTCACACATGATCATTTGACAATCTTTTGCTATCCATACGTAAGGAAAAATATTATCATGTGGCATCTTATTAGAAGCGGCTCGATATAAACATTCAAAATATCCTATTATTATAGTTTAACTAAAACATAAGTTAAGATATTGGGAAATGGGAAACTTCTAACGCTACAACTATTTTTCAACGGAGGAAGTATATGCTATGATCTATATTTAATAAGATTTGGAGATTGTGCCAAGCATAATTGTTACAGAGTATATTTTGCTCGGTTTTTGTATTTATGGGTTTAATATTCTTGGAACTGTGGTAGTTAGAAGCAGCTGTAGGATGGTTTCTACTCCTGTTTCATATTAGTGTTCACATTTAATTTGATATAAAGTTTAAGAGCAGTGATGGTGGGTTGCAGAATTGGTGGGGTATATAGAAAGAGGGATAGTGAGAAATGGATAGGTAATACTTCCTCCATCCCATATTTAAAGTCTCAGTTTCCTCTAATGGACGTTCCAAATTAAGTTCTCATTTCTTTTAAGAAATGAATTCGGAGGTTCTTATTATTTCTCTCTTTTACATAAATTCCAAACACACAATTTCACTATTGCTGAACTCTGTGAGAAAGTGAAATCTTAAAGATAAGACGGAGGGAGTATTTTATTGGGTAACTGTTTTCGAAACTGGAAATGAGAACACCAATTTGGAACAGCTGAAGATAACAAAGGGAACACTTTTATGAAATGGATGTAGTACTTGGCGCTATCCTCCAGAAGTGAATTAAAATATGAGATCGAGGGAGTACTTTATTAGCCAACTGTTCCCTAAACTGGAAATCAGAGAACTAATTTGGAACAGCTGAAAAAGAAAAGATGGAACCCGTTTATGAAATAGATGGACAACTTAGCTTCATCCTCAATTCTACCAACCAAACTTTGTGAACAACTTGTTTCATTGACAGTGTCCTCAAAGTGAAAAATGAAGGGTAATTGCACAAAAATTGATTAACTGAATTTCATTTAGGAAATGTCACAACTCTCAATTTCATTGTCCAATTGTTTAAATTTCAATCAACAATTCACATTCCAGATTCAAATGATAATCTTTGCCTTCTATTACTCTGCAATTTATAGTACCTTACTACTCCCTCCACCCCATAATAAACAACACACTTTTTTTTGGTCTAACAACACAATTTTATCTCACTAGGTGGGGTTGGCTACATGGATCCAATGACGGCATTGCGCCCTATTATATGCCATATTTGCAGTGAGATCCTTCACACGAAGATCCCCCTTGACCACTTCGTGCCAAATCTTCTTAGGTCTACCTCTTCCTCTAGCCACATATCTATTCACCATTTGATCAACCCTTCTCACCGGATGCTCCATTTGTCTTCTCTCCACATGTCCAAACTCCAAACCACCTAAGACGAGTTTCCACCATCTTTCCTACAATAGGTGCCACTCCAACTTCAGCTCTCATATCTTCATTCCTTATTCATGACATGGATCAAACTTTTTTTTGGTTCATCTCAAAATAAAAGTCCATTTCTTTATTTGGAAAGGAATATGTGACCATTATTTTCTTTCTTTCAAATCAATTCTAACCACACCTCACTTTAAAAAAATTCTTCGACTCATGTGTGATCGATCAAAGTAGATTTTTAATTTGGGACAGAGGGTGTATGATATAGGTTTTCTTTTTATCAAGAGTTTTTCTCAAAGTGGTTTTGTTTTGTTCTTTATATGAATGAATACATACAGCTTCGACGGAAGCATGTAATGAATTGATGGCATACTCTTTAATATTGTCCTGTTGCTGCTACACATGTTGCATAAGAAGGAAGCTGCGGAAACAGCTAAGCATCAAGGTATCTTCTTTTCTTCCCTCTGCAGCATGTATCCCTTGTTTATGAAGCTCCTTGCTCTCCAACTTTGACTTGAATCCAGAATACGTGAGGCCCGTCATACAATACAATAGTAGTAGTAATATTAATAATAGTAATAATAATGATGATGATTATGATGACGACGAGGACGACGTGATTATGAGAACATCTCCTCCTCACCCCCCACTCACCCCACAGGAACATCAAAATATGGAGTTTGCTGATCTCTATCAGTTCATAGACAACAGTAGCATATAATTACTCTGAGTTTTATGGTCAGGGTGGTCTTTGTGGATGTGGGAAAATGATTAGGAGCACCATGGTGATAACGATCAGGTGTCCCACGTTCACTTACTAACATGTCATGCTCATGACTAGGGTGTTCCTCTTAGTCCATGCTCACTAACAATGATAATAGTAATTGCTAGAACTAAAGTACTCTGTAATTATATATTGTTGGTATACCATACTGGCATACTTACAAGACCAAATTTATACAGGGGTATAAACCATTTTATAGTCCGTCGCTGAATCCCTACCTTGGTTTGGGTTGACAATTTAAAAAAAAAACAGTTGTGAACTCTCACATCCATCCGTATTTTGCAGGGAGGGTTGATTGATGATTTCCTCTCACATATGATGTGCTGTTGCTGTGCCTTGGTGCAAGAACATCGGGAACTTCAGATTCGTGGAATTGATGGTATGACATTTTTTCAGTGCTGGCGAACATGTTGTTTCTTTCTTTTTGATTGTTATTGATAAATCAGATTGGTCTTAAAATCTCCTGACTGCTCCTGCTTGGTCTTCTTTTCCTGCATACAATTTAAAGAAATCTAGGACTAAAATATTAAACTTGTAGGATATCTTATGTTTCTATCCTCTAAATAGGACATGCTATGTTTCTTTTTTTTTTTTTTGACATGAGGACATCTTATGTTTCTATTTAGTCACAGTTAGGTAGTTCTTTACAATTTATATCTGTCTAGAATTGCCAATGCCTCGATTAATCCCTGCCTAAAACTGTCTAGGCCTTGATTAATCCACTCCTAGAGGTTCTTAGACAATAGGTTTTAGTCTACCAACTAAGGGACGTTTGGAATTTTTGGAAAACTAAAATTAGTATGTACTTGAAGAGGTGCAATGAATGATAAAATATGCAGGCATACCGAAGGTGAAAACGAGCCCTCCTCCCACTCAAACCATGGAATCCTAAACGCTTTGGTTGTATCTGGAAAGTATGACACGCATTTCAAGACCTATCTGATTTAAAAATAATAGAGAATGTAATTCATGATTTATAACATATCACTAGAGACAATAGAGCTAGCAACAGCAGTATGTACTAGCTACTCTTTTGTTTAGAAATCTTCATGCCTCCCTCTCCATGTGTATGTGTGAGGAATGATGAGAACTAACAGATTTGGCTGCATCATGTAAATATAAAATATGATATGATCAACATTCATAGCATTGCGTGCATTTATCTATTGCTGGACTTTGTTCGTTCACGGAAGTCATCTGACTAGGTTATTATATTGTCACCCTACAAAATTAATATGAGTTCGTATATGGTGCAACCTATTGTACCGGAAGTAAGGTGCAACCAGGTAGTACTTATATTGAAGTGAAATAATACTCGTTCTCACAAAAAATATAAGTGTTCATTTCACACATTTGTTCAATACAATTACAATATGGAAAAATTTACAACAATACTTCTACAAATTTTTGATATTACAGCCGAAAATCAATTAATTACACCATTACTTTCAAAATTGCTCTCTTTTTACAAATATACTCCACACACCACATGACTTGCACAATAAAATTATGTAATATCTAAATAAATTTTTAATGTGACAATTTGAATTTTTTTCATAAAAATATAAATTACTTATTTCTCCTCCAATTCAAATATCAATCGCGTCTCTCACAATTAGAGCATGCCATTTTTTGTTGGAACTTTAAAGTTGAATGTTGAAATGAACTGTTAAGGAGTTGGAAAAAAATGAAAAGAGTTAAAAAAAATTAGAAATTAACTTTTCCAACCCAAAAGAACAAATTTTTAAAGTAGAAGATTGATATTTGAGATGGAGGAAGAAATAGGTAAATTAAATTTTTTGTATGAAAATTGAAAGAAATGTCATGAGTTTAAAAATTAATGTTGATATAACACAATATGATTATGCAAATGATATGGTGGGTGGAGTGTTTTTGTAAAAATAGAGCAATTGTGGGGATAATGATGTAATTAATTATTTTCAAAGCACTCTTGTAAAGTCAAAAATTTTTCGGAGTATTGTTGTAAATTTATTTTGACACAAAGGTTATCTTTTCTGCTTATTACTTATTCTTATTAAAATTAAATTAGATCGGATTTAATTAGATTAGATCTAAATAAAATTTATTATTATTATTATTATTATTATTATTATTATTATTATTATTATTAATTTATTACTATTGTTATAACTCTCCTTGTCTTATACTCCCTCCGTCCGGAAATATTCTTTCCGTGTTGACTTGGCACGCTTATTAAGGAATAGTAAAAAAAATATAAAATTTTCAAAAGTGCACATACTATAAACTTTTAAATCTCTTTTTATTATTAAAAAAGTACTAAAAAAGTATATTTGTGATAAAATAGAAAGGTATTATTGATATTTATCCTTAAAAAGTATACTAAAAAAGAAAATGGGAAGAATATTTCCGGACGGACCAAAAAGGAAAGTGGGAAGAATATTTACGGACGGAGCAAGTAATGTTCTTCCCGATTTAATCGGAACTCATTTTTAAGAGAGTGTAAGAATTACTTTTCACTTTCCAAAAACATGTCCTCTCTATTATCACCATCAGCCCATCACCTTAATGACCTTATCCCCTTCATGCATTCTTGTTTCACGATTCTCGTCTTTACCATACTCCCTCCATGGCTATTCCTACTTCACCATCGTCTCATACTCTCATCATCTCTTGTCTGGACTTTATGGGAATTGAATTTTTGAAGCTTTGCCTTGGCCATCGAATTTCTATTACTCATTTCTCGGAAATAGATCGAAAGCTCATCCGCAGATTTGAGGTATTTATCTCCGCTTGGCCTTGCTCGCCGCTGCTCCTCCGGTTTATAGTTGACTCGATGAAGTCTGTTTTGACTGCAATGGTGCCGGATTCAACTGTGATTTTAGGACGGAGGGTGTATTATTATTGCTATTATTATTATTATTATTATTATCCCATTTACTAACACGCGATGGAGCGTTCGGACTCCGAAGGAGGGTTCCGATTGGAATTTGGGGCAACACGTGGACCGGATGAGCTTGAAAGTAGGGGGTGAGCTTCTTCACTGTGCATACCACCGCAAAGATCGTCTTTTCCATATTTGTATACCTCAGCTCCGCCCCTCGCAATACCCGAGCCACATAATGCACAGGGCGCTGCGTACCTTCCTCCTCTCTCACAAGCACTGAGCTCACAGCCCGAGGAGAGATCCCCAAGTACAAAAACAAGGTCTCTCCGGGATCCGGATTTGAAAGCACTAGTGGCGAGAGAAGATATGCCTTCAACCCTTCAAAGGACCTTTGACATTCCTCGGTCCAGACAAAGCATCTGCTCTTCTTTATGGTCTGGAAGAAGGGTGCCGCTCGATTAGCTATCTTCGATAAGAAGCGACTGAGAGCAGTGATCCTCCCTGTGAGTTGTTGGACCTCCTTCACATTTCGCGGAGGCTCTATCTCCAAAATTTCCTTCACTTTCTCTGGATTGAGCTCGATCCCCCTTGGACTGACCATATGCCCTAAGAACTTGCCTCCCTGAACCCCAAACATGCACTTCTTTGGATTGAGGCGAAGCCGGTACTTCTCCAGGATTCTGAACACTCTTTCCAAATCCTGAGCATGGGATTCCATCTGCTTTGATTTGATGATCATATCGTCCACATACGCTTCCATACACCCCCTAACACCAGCGCGAACAGCTTGTTGACCATTCGTGCATAGGTCGCGCCAGCATTCTTTAGGCTGAAAGGCATCACCTTATAACAGTATACCCCATTGGGGGTGATGAAGGAGGTCTTCTCTTCGTCTACCGTAGCCATCCTGATTTGATGGTACCCACTGAAAGCATCCATAAAACTCATCAACTTGCACCCTGGCGTCTCATCCACCAACTGGTCAATGTTGGGAAGAGGAAAAGGATCCATTGGGCAGGCCTTGTTCAGGTCGGTGTAGTCGACGCACATCCGCCAGGTGTTCCCTTTGGGTGCGAGGACTACGTTCGCCAACCACTCCAGATAGCGGACTTCCCGGATGTGCCCGATGGATTGCAGGGTGGTCACTTGTTTAGTGACAAAGTCTCTCCTCTATGAGGAAAGGAAACGTTTCTTCTGTTTGATCGGCTTGTGGGCCGGATCTACTGCTAATCTATGGCAGATGATTTGCGGGTCGACTCCAGGCATATCCTCTGGACCCCAAGCGAATAACACTTTGAACGAACGGAGAACTCCCATCAGCTGCTCCTTCAGCCTAGGTGGTAGGGTCTTACCTACCTTTACCTTCTGCTCCAACTTGGATGGGTCCAGAGCAAGTTCCTCTACCTCCTCCACCGGCTCTTCTCTGGGTCGACCTTCTTCCTTCTGCATCGCGGCGCAGATCGTGCTAACGTTCTCATCGACCCGTGCTTGGCTCTTGGTCGCCCATAGCATGACCGGGACAAACTCTGATTTCCTCTAGCCATTCCTACCCCGGTTGGAGTGACAAACTTTATACACAGGTGGACGTGGGAGATTACGCACTCCAAGTCCTCCATACCTGGTCGCCCAATGATCAAATGGTGTGCACAGTCAAGCTGCACTATCATAAATTCCATGTCGAGCCAGAGTCGGTGGGTGCCATCTCCTACCCACGCCTTCACCGTGATGGTTCCTTCCGCTTCAATGGTGTCCCCCGTGAATCCTGACAGCGGGGTACGTATTGGTTTAAGGTCGCTCCGGGACAACCCCAGCTCCCTGAAAGTGTTGCTGTACATGATGTTGACCGAGCTGTCAGTATCGACCAACGTGCGATGGACGACCACGTTATTGATCTCCACCTTTATCACCAATGCGTCCCGATGGGGGCTGAGAACTGGTGGGTAATCTTCATCCGTGAAGATCAATGGTTCCTTCTTCTTCCGCTTGGGTAGCGGTGGCCTTTGCACCTCAGCTAGGTGCACCATATTCTTCCACTTCTTCCGTGAGGACGTCGAGTCCCCTCCTGTGTTGCCACCCATAATAAATCGACATCCCAAATGTCGGTGATTCTACCGCTCTTCCTCATCCAGGTCGTCACAATCTCTCCCTAGATGTCGTCTTCCGTCCTCCTGCCCATCCCCAGCAGTGACCGCGTTGCGGCGGCGGCCGCCAGCCTCTTCCAGGTTCGGTTCCCTGGTGCTGGTCGCTTCGGCCGAGGAGGCGGTCCTCTAGCGATCAGCTGGTCCATTTCCTTTTTCAGTGTAACGCACTCCGACGTGTTGTGGGTGCTGTTACGATGGTACTCACAGTACTTGGGCGCGTCTTGGACGCTATAGCTTTCCCTACTGCGGGGAGGGGCTGGTAAGGGCTGTACTGCGTGGACAGGCTGTCTGCTCATCTGATATTCGGTAGGGTTTGGTCCCCTACCAAAGTCCTTCCTCTTTCTTCCCTCTGTCACCGGCTGTCCGCTCTTCTTCTCCTTCTGGACGGGTGGCTCGGCCTCTTCTTCTTCCAACGCCAGATACTTCGCCCTGGCTAGCATCTCTTGGTAGGTCGAGAGCGGGTTTCGTCGCAGCTCCTTGCGCACATCCCCTTGGGGGAGTGCCGCTTGGAGCAAGGCCTGGTCGTCCGCCCCTTGGACGTCCCTAGCCTCCTTCTCCCACCTGTTGATAAACTCTCGGATCTACTCCCCCTTCCGGATTTTCACATTGAGCAAGTGTGAGAACGGGAGCTTCTGCCTCCGGCTGGACGCGAAGTGCTCCAAAAATTTGTGGGCCAGGTCGCTCCACTTGTCGGTCGATCCTTTGGGCAGCTTATGGAACCATTCACAAGCTTGCCCCTCAAACGTTGCCAAGAAGCATCGACATTTAATCTATTCGGGGTATGCATACATAACCACGTTCGCCCCGAAGCGAGCGAGGTGATCCTGGGTCGTACATCCAACTGCTTCTCCAATCGCTCGTACATCCTCCGTAACTCGGTCGCTTCTTTGTCCTCGACTACCTTCTGTCGCTCTTCCGAGCCAATCTTAGATGTTGCCGAGGACTCTCCTCTCCTCTCCTTGAGTTTTTCTCTCAGGCCGCCCTTGCGAACTGACCGAGTATCCTGCAGCCGATCGAACGCCGAGGTCCGGGGCTTCTTTGATGTGGGATCTCCCAATCGATCGAAGGCCGATGCCCGTTCAAAGGAGGACGACTCATCTTCCTTGTCCAGTATGGACAGCTCGTCCTCCACCCTTGCCTTTCTATTGGGCTTGGTCACCTTCTTCTTTTTGGACCGCCTTACTTTCTTCTTCTTTTTTCCTCCTGAGCCTGCAGGCCCAGCCTTTCCTCCTGCAGGTTCTCCGGTCGCGTCCTCCACCACAACCTCGCGATTTGGGGTCAAGGCCGCCAACACCTCCTTGAACTGCTCCGCGGTGATCCCGACCCTCTGAATGAGCACCTCCGCCTCCGTCACGTTGATAGGAGGGTGCCGGCCTCCGGTGGCAGTGTTTTCACCCTGGAGAGGGACTCCGATACCTAAATTTGCGTTGCTACGGGTTTGCACCATTGTCTTCTTGGAGGATTTTTCCTGAGTATTATCCTCGAGCTCTCAATGAATGCACCAATTTGATGGACGATAAATCCACCAAATGATCCGATTCAGAAGAATGGATCGCAAGAAATACAATAAGAACAAGAATTCGAAAATTATATGTGAGTATTATTAGCTTGATTCTGCCTGAGGATTCCCCTTTTGGGTCCCCTCTATTTATACATGGATTTTGGACCATTAAGGTATTTCACAATCAAAGGGAGTCTACTCCACCGATGGAGCGATCCCCTTTTTCCGACTGCATCTCTGTTCTTCACCTGAGTTTCCTCCCATGGATTTGCTCTGCCAGCTGTTTCTTGGGCTGGAGTGGTTCGGGCCTCGTGTCATGGGCCGGCCCAAATTCAAGCTCTCACCGCGCGCTTGACCCGGCGCTTATTGGGTGATTAGTTTGGGCCGCCCGCTGGGTATCGGCCCATCATTGACCTTTACTCATAAAGGTTCTTACATTCCATTCATATTATTTATTGTCATGATTCATTTCAATAAATTATTTCAAAGTGCACATCATAAATTAAATTCTTTATTTATTCTTAATTTAGGTCTTTACCCATGTTCCCAATCAAGATCACACAATAAGTCAACATATTGGATTCACCTCTATGAGATTTATCCAGATTGTGATATTGAGATTGTGATATTAGATATAAAAACATATTTCATTTCGGCTCAAAGCCCAACAACCACTACAAAAAGCTGCCGAAATCGCGACGGAATTATTCCATCGCCAAAGCCCGATTTCCGTAGGGAATCGGCCTAGCGACGGAAACAACGACGGTTTGTATTCCGTCGTTATTTTTTCGTTAGTAATAAGTTTAACGACGGATTATTTAATCCGTCGCTAGGCTACGACGAAATTAGCGACGGAATGAGGCGACGGAATTAACAATGGAAAATTTCCGTCGCTAAGATTAACGACGGTTTTAGCTACCGTTTCTGCATTTTGACCATACAGCGACGAAAATGATATTCCGTCGCCAAATCCGTCGCCAATTTTACAGCACAAATACAGAAAGCTGCCATTTTTTCAATTTCACACAACATTCATAGCAACCTGCTCTAGCCCAGGAATCCACATCATCAAACAACAACAAATACTAGAAATGAAGAATACCAAACAACCAAGAATATTCAAATCACCAAACTACAATTAAAATTCAAATAATATTTATAAAAATTCAACTTAACAATCAAATCTAACTCCACTTACATAACCATCAAACTTAAGTTTAATATAATGTTCTTCAATTCTAATAAAATATTCAACAAGCGCGTGCAAACCCCGTATCTCATCAAGTCATCTCTTCTATAATCGACAATAGTTCACGCACTTGGGAAGCTCTAATGTCGTCTAGCTATTGTCTCAACCTCCGTATCTCATCATCTCGAGGGTCTCACATAGAGATGGTGCTAGCACGTCTTGCCTCACTTGCATGCATTCGTGGTAGGCTTCGTGCGAGATCTCCAACACCATGAACACGATTTTTGGCATCATGTCCTCCGACTGTAGATATAAAAATCTCGTCACGTGTCACATTTAAGCATTATTCTCGAACTGCCTCCTGCGTGACTACGTAGTTTTGCTACAATACACCAAACATACATGTATATAGATTAACATAAAAAGCAAAATAAGTAGAGTAGTATGAATTCACATCCACTTGAATTCAACGAAAACTAACCATTTATATATACAATATATATTCATTGTCACTTACTGATACTTTTGCTGCCTTCTTATTGACGTAGGTCTTCCCATCATGTTTCTTCGTATGTGTGTGTGTACAAAGAGTACAAGTCAGAAGCTTGTCTACTTTTACCCTAAAACAATAAAATATATAAATAAGTGTAAACATGTCAGTTAAAACATTTAAATGAAAATAATGTTACTAATAATACTTACAAGGCGTGTTTGAGACTCGCAAAAAGCAACAGACCACCGGTGTGCGTGGCGCTAGCAGGGACATTCTCGTCACCACCACGACGATTTTTCTTGTTTTGCATGGAGGATGCCAAGAACTTTGCCGTCTTCTAATACTGTTTAACAACATTTAATACAAATATACAAATAAAAATTCAATAGAAATTTTGAATAGAAATTTTTACATGTGAATATTTCACATTCCAGAATACATAATACATATTTACTAAAACTTTCAAGAATATAATTAATTTTTTTAAAAAACAAATGACTAAATTTTGAAAAACAAACCCTAATCTAAAATAATTATAAAATTAAAATTAAATTTTTAATAATAAACAAAATATGTTAACTTAAAAACCCCTAATGTAAGCAATACAATTATAATTAAAAACAAACTAATTCAGAAATTGAAATTGAATAAAAGATGAAAAAATGAAAAACAAAACTTGAGATTTCAAGTGGACGGTGACGGAAGATGGGTAGACAACCGGCGGTTGATGGTGGCGGACAGAGAAGATGATCGGACAGCGACCGGCGAATGATGGTGGCGGAAGGCGTCGCGGAGGAGACGAAACTAGACAACAACTCTTTGTGGTTTCTGTCTGCGAAATCGGAGAAACTGAGAGGAGTTCCCGTTTTTAGATCTGTTTTTGGAGACGGATTTAGCGATTGAATTTTTCCGTCGCCAGCTCAAAACGCATCGTTTCAATTATATTCTTTTACCGACGGAATTTTTCCGTCACCAAACTAATGACGGAAAAATTCCGTCGTTATTTCCGTCGTCTAATATGCCGCGCACTACCTCCCGCCAATACGGAGCGACAGAATGCTGATTCCGTCGTTAATTTTGGTAGGCGTAGAATTTCGTCGCTGAATCCGTCGTCGTTAGCGTCGAATTGCATTCCGTCGCTATAATCCGTCGTTTTTTTCGCGTTTTCTTGTAGTGAACAATTTACTTTAATAAAACAAATTTGATTAATTAAATAATTATTCATTATTAATGTTAGGGTATATTTTGGGACATTACCGAGGGGAATAATCAGCAAGGAGGGAGGGTGATGTTGAATCTCTATTACGAAGTACAAGAAAAAAATAAATGGGTTTGCTGGTAAAAGAGGAAATAAAGGATAGTTTAGAAATATTAGCTGGTACATACACGCGAGCAAATCCTACGCATGTAAAAAATAGAATAAAACTCCTATATGGGTCATTTTTCTTTTAACTCTTACGAAGGGAGATTTCTTAAAAAGTAAAAAGTTTTCTTAAGATTGGAAGAGTCTAGTAAGAAGAAGGATATGAAAGGAAAACAATAACAAATATAATTGCAAAAAGTCAATTCTATAATGAAACAATCATATGCATAGGATTGGATTTTTGTATCAGGGCCAACGAAATAAATCTGAAAAAGAAACAAACAAGAGGAAAATTATGCGTGCAAAGGGTCAAGAAACAACCGCCATTGTCAACTCTCTGTTTCTCTGTGCAGCTCTGGATCATCTTCCAGAAGCAGAGAGTTCGTCAACCTCTGACCTATACATACGATAACGCGCACATCAGGCGTCAGAGAAAACGACCCAGGTGATGATATATTTTCATTGCATAAGGGTAATACGGAGTATTTTTTTCTTTCTTTCTTTCTTTTTAATTGAATTCAGATCAAGAAATTGTCAATCAGATAATCCAATTTTCTTGCGGGTCATGGAACATTCATTTGAGAATCAAGACAGTTGTGACAGTCTAGAAATGGGGCCCCACTGACTTCCATCCACCCCATACCCCATCATCATACGGAAAATCAATTGAAAAATATGCATATCTTTGAAACGAAAGGTGAACAACCTTAAATGCATACGACAAGGAGCTCATATACATATACATACATAGGATCTTCTATTTATTTTTGAGTACTTCAATTAAAAATAGTATAAATATGTATATATAAATTTATATACAGGATAAAAGGAAGGGGTGGTAAGAACAAAGAAAAATGATCCATTGTTGGCTCATAATTTTTGCTCGTGTTATTGACAGTGATTATATGGTCAAAAGTTTGTGGAGGGCTATTGTGTATGTTTCTTCAGTGAGGATGAAAAGCTGCTTTTGATGCACTGGAAAGTTGTGGTGCTATGGAGGGGGGACGGGAGGAGAGGATTTTGGTGTCGGTTCGCCTACGTGCTCTGAACGACAAGGAGATTTTGATAAATGATGTTTCGGAATTCGGATTGGGAGGGAGTGTGTGAATGACACTACCATTGTCTATAAGAATGCCGATCTGTTGGCGTCAGACCACGTTGAATTCTTTTTGAGTGAATGTTAAATACTCTCTCCGTCTCGGAATATTCGTCCAGTTTTGACTTTTGGAATTATTCATCTAAGCAATTCTCTCAATGTGTAAACCTAAATATAGTCATGTGTGGTCTTGTTTGATTTGTCTTAGCATATAGATTATTAATATATAATTTCTATAATTTTTTAACATACAAATTACAAGATAAAATGGATTAAAAAAGTGTGTTGGATGGTGTGTAAAAATGAAAGTGGACAAATACTCTGGGACGGAGGTAGTATTTATTTAAGTATATTAAATGTTTACTTAACTTGTAATTCATTGCCTTTCATAAATTTCTAACAAATAATTTTTTTGGTTTTTTTGGTTGCCTTACATAAATAAATGAGAATTTTTCAAAAAATAATGCCACATAGATATCGCCACATGTCAATTTTTTAAAGAGTTACTTGTCATTTTTTAAAGAGCCACGTGTCAATTTTTTTAGTAAGGAGTCTAAAAAATATATATAAAGGATAAATACTCATATCAACTTTCTATATGAGTCTCATTTTTATATATAAAAGATATATTAAAATTTTAAAAATTTTATTTTTAAGTATGTTATAAATTTACTCAACTTGTAATTGATTGCCTTTCATAAATTTCTAACAAATTATTTTTTTTATTGTCTTACATAAATAAATGATAATTTGTCAAAAAATAGTGCCACATAGATATTGCCACATGTCAATTTTTTTAATGTGATGGAAGATGACATGTACACATGTCAAATTTCTAGGAGGTTAACTCCCCTTTTTTATATATAATAAATATAAAGATATAGGATTCCTTTGATTATATTTATTTAAATATTGACACCTATTAAATAAATTACTTCCTTTACCTATAAACTAATTTTATATTTTTATGACACTTAATGTGTCACTTAATTGAAGATATAGAATATGCGAATTCAATATTTTGGTATAAAATCTTTGAATAAATTTAATTGTTAAAGAGAAACATTCATTTTTATGAAAATACTCTTTCCAATACAATACAATATTTTTTACTTGCTTCATATATAAAAAAATTTGATTAATAAATAAGATGATTTTTTTCACATTTAAATAATTTTCATGCAACTATTAGTTTATAATATTTAAAATGAAATTAGTTTTGATTCTATTCATTTTAATAATAATGTAAAACTAAAAACAAATAATACATTTCAACATACCACCTAATTTGAAACATACAAAGTATTATGAATTTGTTTATGATACCTTTAAATGAAGTTAGTTTGATTATATTTATTTAAATATTGCAACTACTAAATAAATACTTTCTTCGCCTATTATGAAATTTCTAATTTTTTAACACATAATATACCACCTAATTTGAAACATAGAAAATGTAAAATCAACATTTTGGTAAAATATGATCCTAAGGTCCACGTATGAAATGTGAACCTTCTTACACTTTTAATGCCCAGTAAGTAAATGTCTTTTAAAAAAAGATCCAATTCTTTTATGATATTTTTACACCAATATCTATAAAATGAGCATGAAGCATAGGATTGCGGAAAAATTTGCCTTATAATAAAACTTTCAATCCCCCCCACCAAAAAAACTTTCAATTAATAAATAAGATACATTTTTTACCTCTAAATCGATGTCATGGAGGTATTTGTTTATGATATGTTATAACTAAGTTAGTTTTAATTCTATTTATTGCAATATTGATGTAAAATTAAAACATATAAAATATTTTAAAAATAACACTAAATTATTTATAAAATAAGCGATGACTGGACTATAATTGTGTTAAAATAAAAAAAAATACTATATGTAATTTCATAGTTCGAATATATTGATTGCTATGGTTTGATTTTAGTACTAACAATTTAAATTCAAAAATATATTATTTCTCATGATATATTATGATATGATATTCATAATTAAGTCATATAATACAATTTTTCAACATTACTAAGTAAATATAATTAAGGAATAGATAAAATCGATTTTATTAGAACGTACAAGTATTTTTTTTAATTTTATATTTTTTCCATTTCATTTATAATTAAACTATCAATGAATAAATGAGATTCCCTTCTCTAAAAAAGGTACTTTCTTAATCTCCAATGCAAACAGTTAATCACGGCTAAACTTTAACGTTGTTCCCATAAATAAGTTCATATTTATTTAGGACATGTTTAAATAAAGTTAGTTTGTATTTTATTTATTTTCAATATTAATGAAAAATAAAATATAAAAAACATTTTGAACTCTACATTAATATCCTATAAAATAAAAAAAGACTATACTATTGTTTTAAATGATCATATACTTAAATTAAATAAATTAAAAAACGAATATTTGCACAGGCTTGAATAATTTTGTATTGAAACATAAAGAAAAAAAATGGAAAAAAAGTACTATCAATTTTTTTGTAAATTTCTATTCAAAATCACCAGATCACTAATATTTTTTATCTTAATTTTCTTGAGCTAATGTAGGGAAGTACAATCTTTGGATTTTTAAAGTTTTCAAACTTATTTTTTTGAATCATAGTATTGCTAATCCATGCGTTTATTTTTAAATCATGTGGGGAGAAAAAAATCATATTTTTTAATCAATGTGAGAGAAGAGAATCATATTAATGCATGAGAGATGAATAATATTATTGATTTCACTATTCTAAATTAATATGGTGATGTGTGATAGTAGAATCATATTCTTTGAATCATAAGGTTCGTATTTAGTAATCTAATTTTTTAATTAATGCGAAGGAGACCGGATAATCATAGGATCACAATTTTTGTGAAAGTAAATGATTTTAGAGGGATCCGGTTTCGTTCCATTCCTTGGATTGCACGGGTTAAAATTCATTTTATTCACATTCTTTTATGGTTTTGATCAATGATAATTTAGAACGTTTTATTACAAAGTGTTACTTTACAATAGATATGAATGTAAGAACTACAACTAAGTGTACACACTCAAGTATCTATTTAACAATGTATATTTGGGTTTAAAAAATTTCTAAAAAGGTGGACTATATCCTTTCTCTTAGCGGGTATTTGTAATTGGGTTGTAGATATTGTGTTATTGGGTCTGCATGGTTAGCCCATCTTTGTACTTGTATATATATATATCGGAGTAAATTCCATAATTGATCCTTTATAACAGGGGGGTTTCCATATTTAGTCCTCTATTATCAAATATTACCCCCGTAGTCCTTTTTTTAAGGGTACCTTTCCACAAATGGTCTTTTTTTATCTTCTGACGTGTTTGTGTTAATGTAAAGGCTAAAAGTATAATTTGACGTCAACATTATGTCTAGTGACGTGTTCTGATATTGGTTAAGCGGATAACACAAAAATAATGACTATGATTGTGGGCTAGGATTCTGACGAAAGATCACATTTGTAGACTATAGTTGTCGTAAAAAATGACTGTAATTCACAAACGACGCAAACGGAACAGCCTTTGGAATTGTGTATGACAAAAAAGATATATTGTCATTGTGAAATTAAACTTTTAGCATTCAAATTAACACCAATATGATAGAAGATCTAAAAAGGACTATTTGTGGAAAGGTACTTATAAAAAAAGGACCACTTGGGTAATATTTGATAATAGAAGACTAAATAGGGAAACCCCCCGGTTATAAAGGACCAATTATAGAATTTACTCTATTAATCACAAACCCCCCGGTTTGTGATTAATGATTGATAATCAGATCAGTTTCCGTTAAATTTTTTTATGGATCAGAGCCAAAACCGTAGGGCATACTGTTCTCTACCATCCAAGTATCGCACGTTACGTTGGAGTTTTCTTCGGCGATCATTGGACGTCTTCTCTGTTGGTCGGTGATTTTGGTCAATTGATACAATTGGTTGGCGATAAGTCTTCTTTTTTGGTCGGCGATCTTGGTCGTGGATTGTTGCTGTTTATTGGTCGGCAATTGCAATTCCAAAATTGTGGAATTGTGGTTTTTTTCCTTGCGAATTTGGGCCGGCGTTGCTGTTGAGATTAATTTGGCTCTGCAATTCTTTTTTTGGTTTTGTTCACTGCCATTTTTTACTTTGCAAGATCTTTACATGCAAATAGATTTGTTTCTTGGGGATTTCTTTATTTGGAGTCATGGCTTACTGCACTACTATCATCGGCTAGCATTGTGGTGGTGCTAATTCTGCCCCAGAAGCCACCTCTTCATGTTTTAGTAATATTACCTCTGACAGCTTGCAAGGTATGTCATTTATCAAGCCTTGTGAATGGCTTGTGGATAGCGGTGGCTCTCATCATATGACAGGTTTATTACATTGTTTGACCGATGTTGTGCCGCGACCTCCTTGCACTATTAGTTTGCCCGATGGAACTCATCACGTTGTGGCCAACTCTTGTGGCTGTGTGCAAGTGTCCCCTTCTCTAATCTTGCACAATATTTTATATGTTCCCAATTTGAAGTGCAATTTGATATCTGTGAGTTGTCTTGTCAAGTCACATAACTGTCATGTTTTCTTTGATAATCATTTTTGTGTGATACAGGACCGAACTACGAATATTCATATTGGTCAATGTGAAGTGCGCAACAGAGTCTATGTTTTTCCCTCTCAAGCTCGAGCGTCTAAGTTGAGTCCGTTTCTTTGTTACACAAGCGTCTTGGCCACCCATCTCCATAAGTTTTGTCCCTCCCTCCATTTAATAAGAGTCATATTGAAATTAAAATTTTTTAGTCCTGTGATATTTGTTTCTTTTCCAAACAGACTCGTTCTAAATTTTTTTCCTAGTCTTAATAAAGCTGAGAACTTATTGATTTGATTCATTGTGATTTATGGGGTCCATATTCTCCATGTATTTCTACTGGGTCTCATTATTTCCTCACCATTGTGGATGACTTTTTTTCTCATTGTTGATAAAAGTGAGGTGACTAGCTGTTTAAAACAGTTTTTCTCTCTCATTCATACTCAATTTGGTAAAATTATTAAAGTTGTTCGCTCTGACAATGGTACTGAGTTTTTGAACAGGCCTCTATGTGAATTTTACACTAGTATGGGGGTACTTGTGCAAACTTCCTGTGTTAATACACCCCAACAAAATGGTCGAGTCGAGCGCAAGCATCGCCACATCCTTAATGTCGCTCGTTCTCTAATGTTTCAGGCCTCTTTACCTCTTGAGTTTTGGGGTGAATGTGTTCGCACTGCTGTTTATCTTATAAATCGTACACCCACTCCTCTTTTACAAGGGAAATCTCCATATGAACTTCTTTCTTCAAAGCCTCCAGACTTGTCTCATCTTCGGGTTTTTGGGTGTTTGTGTTTTGTTCGTCATGTTCAACGACCACCAGGGGCGGACCCAGAAAATATGTATAGTGGGTTCATAAAAATTTTAACAGATACAGAATAAAGAAGACTAAATGAAATTAATATTAAGTCATAAAAGTACCAAAGTCATATTACATAACAAAACACAAACATTACAATATAATATTTCTATGTTCCGTTGCTTGAAATTACTACAAAAAAAGCCAAATATAGCTTGAACATTATGTCATATTGTCATACTTCAAGAAGTCACACATCAACAAGCATTACAATATCATTCTTCTAGGCTTCATTGCTTGAAAGTATTTCATGATATCGTCATCTTCAACCTTATCAAAACTATCATGCTCTATATAAGTTAACAAACAAGCATTAAACCACTCATCTCTTATTCGATTGCGCAATTTATCCTTGACCAAGTTCATTACCGAAAAGACACGTTCAACACTCGCCGTTGCCACCGATAAGATCAAAGCCAATTTAACCAACAAATAAATCATGGGATAAGCAATTTGTTTGTGCTTCTCAACCATTTTTTGAGCAAGATCTCCTATTCCCTTCAAATTAGCAAAATCTTGATCACTTTTCACATCAAGAATAAAAGTCTCAAGAGAGGAGGCAAGGAAAGAAAGATCACAAACTTCATCAAATTCCATCGGATAGAACTTAGCAAACTCAACCAACTTTTGCGTGTCAAATGAGACAAAAGAATTCCGAAGATCAAGACAACTCAAGCATTCGATTAACTTTGTGTTGACATTGTCAAAAGGATCATTCAATTCAAGAAGTTGTTGGTTAATCATGTTATAGCATCACCTTGAAATACTCCCAAAACTTGAATGTGGACGGATATCGCCGAGATCTTCCTTTTGGATGATAAACATCTCCTTGATTTGGAACATCAATAATATTCTTCCTACAAAACTCTGTTGTCAACATGCCTCAAATTTTGCAAACTAAATTTTGCAACTTTCACTAAAGAAATTGCATTAGCAAGATCTTGATCTTTTCTTTGTAATGCTTGTGACAACACATAAGTGATTCCCAAGATTTGCTTCATCAAATGCAAAATGAATATGAATTCAAAGTCATCAATAGCATACAAAATGGCAGATGCTCAGTTCTGACCGCATCATTCTTCGGATCATCTCTAATGATGTTCATCAAATCAAGTATAGGAGAGAACAATGAAATAACACTCACAATTGTACCGTAGTGAGACCCCCAACGTGTGTCACCCGGTCTTCTCAAAGTAGCTTCTTGATTAGAACCTCTTCCAGACACATCACCACAAGCAATTCTTTCATGTATCAACTCGTATTGCTTCTCACGAAAGATGTCTCTTCTCTTACACGAGCCATTAACAACATTGGCCATTTTGTGAAGAATATCAAAAAACTCTTGAATTCTTCGATCGCTTTTAGCAACCTTCACAAGCGCTAATTGTAATTGATGAGCAAAGCAATGAGTGTAATATGCTGACTTATTTTCAGCCAAAATCAAACTTTTGAGGCCATTAAACTCACCTCTCATGTTGCTAGCTCCATCATAACCTTGACCACGACATTTAGAGATGCTAAGTCCTAGTTTATCAAGAAGTCCTTCAATTGCTAATTTCAAAGACATCGATGTAGTGTGTGAAACATGAACAATGCCAACAAAACGCTCAACAATTAGCCCTTGCTTGTTCACATACCGTAAAACCACAGCCATTTGATCTTTAATTGACACATCTCGAGCTTCATCCACAAGCAAAGAATAATAGTCATCTCCAATTTCTTGAACTATGCCCTGTAAAGTTAAATCAGCATAAGCAATAGCGAGATCTTTTTGAATCTTTGGAGATGACATATTATTATTATGAGGAGCATTATTTAAAACCACACTCCACATTTCTTCATTTAGCATGGCATAAAAATTCAAAGTCTCAAGAAACAACCCCTTTCTACTTGAACTTTCAGATTCATCATGCCCACGAAAAGGAAGACCATTTCTTAAAAAAATCTGACACAAATCAAAGATGTCTTCAACCGAATACGATAATCTTTTTTTTTCTTGCTCAGAAATATTTGAAAGAGTAATGTCAATATGTTTTGATCTATTCATCAAATCTTGCCCAACTTGGAAACATTTACTATGAACACTTTTATGGTCCCCCATGTGAACTCTTAACCTGCTTTTCTTATTCCAACACCTAAATCCCGTCCCAACAAATGCATCATGACCATAGCTTGAACTACCAAACTATATGTTGAAAAGGTAACAATAGAGACAATAACAAGCATCGTTCAATTCACTATACTCTAACCAACCACGGAATTCCACATACCATTTTGGGTTGAATCTTTGAGGGACATCATAAATGAGAGTTTGAGGATAAGATGTAAGCATTGGTTGTGTTGGACCCATGAGTAAGTACCTTCTACGAATACTTTCTCTCTCATCCGGATTCTTTGTCATAGAATGGATTGGAACTCTTTTCCCCGGATTGGCTTCAAGATTTGATGTGTCAAACTCATTTAGAGTTTCTTGAATTTGAGCTTGGGGTTGAAGTTCTTCAATCCGACTTCTTGTTTGAGCTTCTTCAATTGGAGGTTGGGGTTGAAGTTCGTCAATTGGACTTCTTGTTCGAGCTTCTTCGATTGGAGGTTGGGGTTGAAGTTCTTCAATTGGACTTCTTGTTTGAGTTACTTCAATTGGTGGTGTAGGTTTAAATCTTTTGTAATAGAATTCCAAACCTAACAAAATATAAACCATTAGCAAATTCATATTTAATACCATAATTTTTTATTAATAAAAAAATAATAATCTAAAATATCAATCACAACTTGTGTTACCTTTCTGATGGACAATAAATCCACCAAATGATCCGATTCAGAAAGCGGATCGTAAGAATCTAATTAAGAACGAGAATTCGAGAATTGAGTTCTCCCCTTTCGGGTCTCCTCTATTTATACATGAGCCTTAGACAATTAAGGTAATGCATAATCAATGGAGTCTATCCCGTCAATGGCGCGATCCCCTTTTTCCGGCTTCGTCTCCGCCATTCGGTTCCGTCTCCTCTTCCGGATTGACTCTGCCAGCTGTTCCTGGACCGGAGGTGACCGGGCCTAACTCTATGGGCCGGCCCGAGCCTGGATATCCTCCAAGCGCCTGACCCAAGTTGCTTAAATGGTTCATTTGGGCCGCCTGGTGGGTATCGGCCCATCACAAGCCCCCCAACTCCTCAGTCCTCGACTGGGCCAAATTGAGGAATGGGGAGTTTACGAAGTCCACGTGGGCGCTCCAGCGCGGATCCAGGCCGTTTCTTGGGCTCTGCGTGACACTTTGGGCACGATCTCCACGAATAGGTAATCATGACCTGCCGCTTCGCCTCCCCATTGTCAGTTAAAAACCGCCGCTAGGCGCCATCTCTTTCTTTCGCTTTCGTCACCATCATTTGTCTGCAATTCCGCTGCTACCCGACCCGTTCTTTTTCCTTTCCAGGTCAGTTCCTTTCCTCGCCGCCATGATTGTTTCAGATTCCGATTCGGCCACCCCATCGTCCAATTCTCGCCAAGCCGATCAATCGGCCTCTGGCCGTAACCCCGGGCATACTCAATCACCCCAGCCGTCGCCGTCGGCCGCGTCTGGCCATAAACGGCGTCGATTGAGGAAGCAATTCCCTTCCTCAACCCCGGTAGATGAGGGCTCGAGGGTTGGATTGGACGAAAACATCATGGCGCTCTGCCATTGCCAGATTACTGACCGGGGGTTCGCCAATGCTACTGACATGGTCGGACCTTCCATTGAAGTCCTGAGACTTACCAGCACCCAAACCGCCCTGGACGCTCCTTCAGGGTTCTTCACGGTCCATCTGGCGTCTTTGAAGAAGGGGCTGCGCTTCCCACTCCACCCGCTGTTGATCGAATTCCTCAACGTGGTGGACCTTCTTCCGTGTCAATTGGTCCCCAACTCTCACCGATACATCGCCGGTTATCTGGTCCGGTGCATGGTTGTCGGGGTGAAACCAACTTTGGACCATTTCCTATTCACTTTCAAGCTGACCAAGGGCCATAAGGATTGGGCGTCCTATGCCAGCCTTTCCTAGAGGTCCAGTAAGCTCTTTGCTAGTGACAAGAAGGGGTCGACCAAAGACTAGAAACCCTTCTTTGTTTTCGTCTCGACGGGGCCCGAATCTCCCTTCACGGGTTCAGGGCGCCCTTCCTTCCGCCGCATCCCATGCCCCCCATCTGATGCCACCCTTTTGTCCATCACTCGCCAACTCTGCAATAAGGGAGTTATGAACATCAAAGAGGTGGTGACAGAGGAAACCCTTGCCGGGTTGGGGTTTGAGTTTGTTCAGGATGATCTTCGTCACCAACCCGACCTACTGAGGGACATTCCCGGGGGGCATCAGCCTGACCAGCTGAAGGACATTCCTGAGGAAGGTCTTGACTGTGGTCCTTTTGGTAATTGACCTTTTCTTTTGCCCGGATGTTTAGTTTATCTTTTTCCAAGGCTGACCATTTCCTTTGTTTCCAGTGGAATTACAAGATTCAGGAGAAGAGATGGACGGCGATCTCCTACTCAGTCGCTTCACTGCAGGGAGGAAGAGGAAGAGAGAGGCGAAGGGCCAGGGCAAACGCTCTTCATCCCACCACGGGGAGAGTCCTTCCCGAGAGCCGGCTGTAATTGTAGTGGAGGATCAGGATGATGCTACCCTGGAAACGGGTACAATGACGGGCCAGTCCCCTCCTCACTCTGTGATGCCGGGTGGCGACCTCGCTGGGTCGTCCCAAGGTGTTGCCTCGGAGCAACCTCCTTCGCCTCCCGCGGTGACCTACGAGGTGGCAACCGGGGGTCGCTCGACGAGGCTTTGCATTCCTCCTCTGCCCCAAAGCTTAGGGGACGTGCAATTGGAGACCCTGATCACCCTGCCCGCGGAGGACCAGGCGCGCATCTCGGCCGGTTCTGAGGACGACCTTGATAACATGGTCCTCTTGAGGCTAAGCCAGGTACTTGCACTAATTCTCTCTGCACCCCTCCTTCTTTTTACGTTCTTAACCCCCATGCCTTGGTGAAGGCCACGCTGGGGATGATTGAGGTGGTCGGTAGGAGACGGGGCCACCAAGCTGCCTTGGGCGAGGCGTTGAAGACATCGGAGGCCAGGCAGAAGGAATTGCAGGAGGAGGTCGCTCGACTCAAAAGGGAGCTGGAGGAGAAGGAAAATCGCTGCGCGGCGCTCGCTGTGGAGAAAACTTCCCAGGAGAACCGCTGCGTTGCCCTTGAGGCAGACAAGGCCTCCTTGTCCTCGGAGGTAGAATTAGTTTCTGCTCGCGAGGTCGAGCTGGAAAGGGAGAAGTCTGACTTGATCCAGCAGTTGGAAGTGGAGAGGAGCGACTGGGTCCGCCACGCATAGGAAGCGGTGGAATACTTTAAATCTTCTCCTGATTTCACGATGGTCACGATGGAGCGGATGGACGAGCTAACAGCCGCTTGGCTCAAAACTGATCCTGGGGCTCAATGGATGGTCAGGGAGGGGACCAAGTCCTTCAATTGTGGACTCTTCCGCGCCCAACAGGTCTTCTGCGACAGACTGGCTCAGCTCCCCAAAGGATTCTCTCTCCCCGACCTCGGCTTTTCCCCTCCTTGCCGTTCCTTGGCCGAGTTCGACCCCAGTCCTTACTTGGACGGAGGGAGCTCAAGCGCGTCTGAAGAAGAGGAAGGTGGACAGGGCGACCAGAACCCCGGGGTCAGCTTAGCCACGTCCAAGGCGGGTGGACATTCCGGCTCGGCCGTCTAACCTCCCCTGTTGTTCCCCCACAGCTTCATAAACACTTGCTTTTTTTCACTTTTGGAATGATCTGTCGTTTTGATACAACGCTCCTATGTTGTTTGATTTTCTGGATTTACCATGTGATTTTCTTTTTCTGCGTTTTACTTCTGCGCTCTCTTCTTTAGTTTAGCTGGTTAACATGGGCGTTTTCGTTAGGGCCCAACTTCTAATCCCGGCCCGATTACCTGACCAGGCCCAATCTCAGGATTGGCCAGCGTGCCGCCCAACTGACCCAATGCCTCTTGCAGTCTCTGATTGGACCTTCGCGCGGCTCAAAGCTGCTTTATCGGTTCAGCTGCCTTGGGACTTGACCGTCTCTTCGGTTTCTTCACCCGGGCCTATTTATAAGCCCCCCTAGCCTTCATTTTGTTCCATCACCAAATATTTTTCTCTTCTCCATCTTTGTCATGTCTGAAGGTATTCCTGTTTCTCTGAATCTTTCCGATGGGCCGGCTCCTTCTTCGCCGGAGCCTGCCTCCTCCCCCAAGTCAGTCAATTCCAATGATTGGGGGGGGGGCTAGACCCTTACGAATTCTGTCGCTGATTGCCTCGCCAGCAGTGGCCGTCGGTGAAACCGCCGCCAATACCACCAAACCCTTATGAAGACTTCAGCGAGGCGTACAAGGCCCTCTCTGCCAACCGTCTGCCTGACGGGTGGATTGACTGGGATGCCCCATGCCCCCTCTATTCACTGCAATGCATGACCTGGGAGAGCTTCCACAATGAGCACCTACCCCTCTTGGAGCATGAGTGCGCATATTACGCAAGTCTGGAGCGGTGGACTAACGAAAGTCGCACCAGTTCACCAGTGAGGCCTAAAGATGAGGTTGTGGTGGGGGAAGAACTGGGTTCTTCCCTACCCCACCCTACTGGTCGCTCACCTCCCCGGAAGGCCCCTAGGCGATCCGGGGTAGCTTAAGCGGCTTCAGGGTCTGCATCCTCATCTAGGTGATGCTGATTGGGGCTCACAGAAAAGTGAGTCGCCCCCCGTCCTTCCCTTGCAGGAGAAGGACGATGGATTTTTTCCGAGGCTGGGGGCGACCACTCCTGTTCCATGATGGGGAAGAAAGGTGGTCGCTCTGGACGGCCGGTGATCGATGCTCTGCCGGTCTATACAGCTGCAGAATTACCTTTCAACCTGGCCTATTCTCACCGCGTCCTTCGTCCTTTCTGGGCCTCAGCTGCTCACAAAGTTCTAGATTTTTCTTTTTCCTTGTAAGAAATGTATGGGAAAACGTCCATTCTTTTGAAAGTACGTAGAGATTGTTCTCGACTGTATTGTAGTAGATGCAAGAGATTATCCTTGAAATGTTATGAACATTTTCATGAATGTATTTTGATGTTACCTGTTTACTTACAAGTTTCATCTTCTTCTCTTTCGCATCTCATTTTAAGCGTTCAGGTTTCCTCAGACCTTATTCAGAGAATACCCCGCCTCTTTTGACTTAGCCATTTCCGGGTTATTTCAACCCCTATGGCGTCGCCATACCTCCAAGATCCCCTGGTCGCTCATGCGATCAGCAGATCTTATGTTCCAGACTCAGCCGTTTTTTCAGGCTTTCTTGCCACGGCGTCGCCCTCTGCTTAGTCGCGTCACTTGACAGCCCTGAATCTTGGTCGCTAGAAAGAGTTCGGCACTTCATCCCCTGTTGGGTATCTTAGCACGAATCACCATACAGCTCAGGCTTAGCGATCTCTTTTGGTCGCTCCCTTTTTTTTTCTTTTTTTTCTTTTTTTATGAGAATTGAAGTCAAGATATGCCAGAATGCTGGTTTTATTAAACTTTAAGAGAGAAATATGGCTGGCATACAATCTATTGGTAAAATTTAATAAGGTTGGCTGCATTCCATACTCGTGGAACGTCGCCTCCGGCTGGTGTCTGCAATCTAAATGTCCCATCGGCCAACACCTCCTTTATAACATACGGCCCTTCAAAGCTCTTAGCAAACTTCCCTCCATCGGTCGGCCGACTGACCTCCCTTTTCCTAAGGACCCAGTCGCCTACCTTGAACTGCCTTGGTCGCACCCGTTGGTCGTGGTATGACTTGACCTGCCGGCGGTAGTTCTCTGCCCGTATGTACGCCCTTTCTCTTCGTTCATCAATGAGGTGCAGCTCTGCCCTCAAGTTTTCTTCATTCTCCTGGGCGTCGAACATCTCCACTCTATAACTTAGCAGCGAGGTCTCCGCTAGAGCCCTTGCTTCAAATCCATATGAGAGCGAGAAAGGAGTTTCACCTGTGGCCTTTCTCGGGGTGGTTCTATAGGTCCACAAGATGTAGGGCAATTCCTCTACCCAGGCGCTTTTGCATCCCATTATCTTCTTCTTGAGACCGTCCACGATAGTACAATTGGTGTTCTCGATCTGCCCATTGGTTTGGGGGTACCCAACCGCTGCATAGCTGTGCTTTATGCCCCAGCTCTGTAGAAACTCATTGAACCCTCTGGCCTCGAACTGGGTTCCATTATCGGTGATGATCTGCTGGGGCACCCCAAATCGGCACAAGATTTGCTTGGACACAAACTTCCTCATTTGTTCTTCGGTGATGGTTGGCACGGGGGCGGCCTCGACCCACTTGGTGAAATAGTCGATCGCGACCACTAGATACGTGTTGTTCCCTGTCCCCCGAGGCAAAATGCCAACCAGATCAATACCCCACCGGGCAAAGGGAATTGCCGTGCTGATTGGGGTATAATTCGTCGCCAGTCGCCCCGGCATCCTTTTGAATTCCTGGCAAACCTTGCATCTTCGTTGGCCAAAAGTATCCTTGTAGTGTTACCTTCCTAGACATGGTGAAGGCTCCCTGATGCGCTGAGCATATCCCTTCATGGATTTCCTCCATTAACTTCTGCGCCTCGTCCGCTCTTAGGCATCTCAACAATGTACCATTGTACGACCGCTTGTACAGCCGACCGCACTCCAGCGTGTAGCTGGGTGCACGTCGTTTTGCCACCTTTGCTGCGATTGGGTCGGTAGGTAGCGACCCGTCAAGGAGGTACATGGTAATCTCATCGATCCAATCCGCTGGCTCCTTGAGTGTGATGACCAATACTTGTCCGAGACTGATGCTTGGTTCGAGCAAATCTTCTTTCTGGGTCATTGCCTTAATATGATCTGGGGAATCCGGGCCAAACTTTGACAAGATGTCCGCCTCAGCATTCTCTTCTCGAGGGACCTACTCTATCCGGTACGCTCCAAACGCTTTGAGCAATTCCAGGGCAGTGTCTCTATACTTCTTCATTCGCTCATCCTTGGCCTCAAACTCTCCGGTGACATGACCTACTATTAGCTTGGAATCGCATTGGACTTGAATTCGTTCAGCTTTTAATGAAGCTGCTAGCCTCAAACCGCAAAGCAGCGCCTCGTATTCAGCCTCATTGTTTGAGACTTTAAACCGGAATCTAACGGAGTAGTATGCTTTGAACCCTTCCGGTGATATCGCCACGACGCCTCCCCCGGAAGCATCAGTCGCGGACGAACCATCAGTGTACACAGTCCACCAGCTCCCTTCGGGTTCTTCTCCACTGGGCTCCACCTCTCTTGCGGTGCATTCTACCACGAAATCTGCCAACGCCTGCCCCTTTATCGCCGGTCGTGGCATTTGGGCTTCGGAGAAGTGTTCCAATAGGGATTTGAGATAACACATGGACCGGATGGGCTTGAAAATATGGGGTGAGCTTTTTCACCGTACATACCACCGCGAAGATGGTTTTTTCCTTGTTCGTGTACCTTAGCTCCGCCCCTCGCAGCACCCGGGCCACATAATACACAGGTCGCTGTACGCCCTCCTCCTCCCTCACAAGCACCGAGCTCACAGCTCGAGGAGAGATTCCTAAGTACAGGAATAGGATCTCTCCGGGCTCTAGCTTCGAAAGCACCAGTGGAGAGAGGAGGTATGCTTTCAACCCTTCAAAGAACTGTTGACATTCTTCGGTCCAGACAAACCCTCTGCTCTTCTTAATGGTCTGAAAGAAAGGAGCTGCTCGATCAGCTATTTTTGACAAGAAGCGACTGAGAGCAACAATCCTGCCGGTAAGCTGCTGGACCTCCTTCACATTCCGCGGAGGTTCCATCTCCAAGATTGCCTTTACCTTTTCCGGATTAGGCTCAATCCCTCTCCGGCTGACCATGTGTCCTAGGAACATGCCTCCCTGAACCCCGAATGTACACTTCTTGGGGTTAAGGCGAAGCTGGAACTTCTTCATGATCTTGAACACTTTCTCCAGGTCACCGGCATGGGACTCCATCCGCTGGGACTTGACGATCATGTCGTCCACATACGTTTCCATGCATCCCCCTAGCACTGGTGCGAACAGTTTGTTGACCATTCGTGCATAGGTCGCCCCAGCATTCTTCAAACCAAAGGGCATCACCTTGTAACAATACACCCCGTTGGGGGTGATGAAAGCGGTCTTTTCTTCATCCGCCGCGGCCATCTTGATTTGATGGTACCCACTGAATGCGTCCATGAAACTCATCAGTTCACACCCTGCCGTCTCGTCCACCAACTGATCAATGTTGGGCAAAGGGAAAGGGTCTATCGGGCAGTCTTTGTTTAGGTCGGTGTAGTCGACGCACATCCGCCAGGTGTTTCCTTTGGGTGCGAGGACTACATTTGCCAGCCAATCCGGGTAGCGGACTTCCCGGATATGTCCAATGGACTGCAGGGTCGTCACTTGCTTGGTGACAAATTCTCTCCTTTCCGAGGACAGGAAACGCTTCTTCTGTTTGACTGGTCTGTAGCCCGGGTCCACTGCCAACCTGTGGCAAATTATCTTCGGGTCGACCCCCGGCATGTCCTGTAACACCCCAACCCGCATGACCCGAATACAAGGATCAGCGGATCGGGTTGTCACTAGATTGGCATTCATACATAATAATTTTCAAAACAATTTAAAACATTTAATTCAAAACAATATTTAAATATTCATCAGAGTAAATCAAAACGTTGCGGAAGCCTTTAAGTACTTAATCGAAATACAACTTTGGGTTCTTGCCCTAAAGAACATAATAATTCAAACTTAAATATTAAATAATAAACTCCTCCAGCTAGCATCCATCCATCTCTTCACCCCCGCTGCCTCCAAGATCGTCTCATTATTCATCGTTCCTGTTACCTACGTGTAGCAAATAGGAAAAAGGGCTACACGCTCAGCATTGAAGCTGAGTGGAATTTATCTAACGTTTGACTACGCACATAGACGAACCCGCTAGCTCATAATTCCATACAATATCATGCACATAAGCACAACATCNATTCTGTTTCCTCGGTCTACCTATAATTCATCTAGGTAACCTATCTCATTAACTTACTTTAGTTATTCACATCCAAGCTAACAACAACATCAATTTACTTTATCCGTTTTAAGACATATCACATTATATCCATAATAAATCAAGAGAGTAGAAATAGCTAAATAAATCATCATGCAATCCAAATAGCGGCCTAATGTCGGGTGTAAACAACTTCCATTTACCGTCATGCAACACATAAGGGCTCAAAGTCAATTCAGATTCCAAATTGGGTCAAACAATAAGATAACGGAAACTACAACTGTCGGTACGGTACCCGTCACGGTACCTTGGTACCGTCTGGCGGTACCTTGGTACCGTCCTACCGTCGGGCTTTAGATACCGATAGCAGCGTTTTGGCCTGAGGCGGTAGCTGGGTACCGTTAGGCAGTACCAGGCTACCGTTTGGCGTCGGGAATTTCCTAAAACAAGTCAGTTCGATCCAATTCCAAATCATTCATTACGTATTATGTTTTTAAAGATTATTATCATGCAAATCACACCAATTGAAGGTAAGAAAACATACCTGGTCATCCTCGTTCCACCAATTCCAACAATAACATATAATATAATTAAATCATAATTTGATTATAAACAAATAAACCACGTAATCAATCGTACGAAACTACGAACGTGAATTTCAAATCTACATACATAATCTAGTGTTAGATGTGCAAGATCTGACCTCGATTTATTGACGAATTAGACAAATTAGATAAACGGAGAAGACGAGACAGCGGCAGCGGTGTTGAGTACTGGTTCCGGCGATCCCCGCGGCGGCGGCACAGGAAGATGGCGGTGGTGTCGAGCTCCTTCCTCCCGGCTCTGGTCTGCGGCTGCTCTCTCCCTCTCTTTTACCGTCGCACAAAGTATTCCGTAGGTTTGTTTCTTTCTCTTTTTCCTTCTTTTTGTGTTGTGTGCGTGTGTAATATATAAGGGGAGGGAAGGGGATTTCCGTATCACGGTAGGAGTAGGTTAGTTTAGGATATTTTCTTTTTATTATTTTATTATAAAATCTTTATATTTCTTTATTGAACTGTAATGTCTATTTTACTCACCTCGCTTTACACGTAAGTCCAAATTTAACAAACTATATACCGTTGTTCATCATTTTACGAGACCTATCCGAAAACCCAATTCTCATTTAAAACGGACAATTCTACAAATAATTCATATTTTTGAGTAAATAAATTTAATATTTATTTTTTTATAAAAAATCACGGCTAACTACTAAGCCGGATCTCGGGTCGTTACATTTCTCTTCCCCTTAAAAGAATTTCGTCCCCGAAATTCCTTAGTCTAGCGTCCACTCAAACACGTGCACATACAGTTCACACAGATAAGCACAAAGGGAACACATATCATTTAACTAATCGTTATCAAAATAAGTTTCGAAGTGTACCATCATGAGTGTTGTTATTCTGTGGGTTTGCATAATCTATCATCGCATAGGTGCGTGCTGGAGCTCTTCCTGGTTGCTGATTCTGGTTCCTCTGTTGATTGGTTCTTGCAGTCGTACGTTGACTTTGTGTCGATTGCGGTGCGGTTGTTTGACTGCGAGTTGGTGCTTGCACTAGGGCATTGCTTGGGTTAGTGGGACAGTTCCTTTGGAACTGACCTGCCTGCCCACATCCCAAACATAATCCTAGATCGTACCAACACTCACCGGGATGTGTCCTCCCACAGGTAGCACAAGGCGGGAACCTAGACGTCTTTGACTTTCCACTAGACGCCACTGATTGGGCTGGCGCTGTTTGGGTTACCACTGTCTTACCTTTCTTTGCTTGAGAGGAATTGCTAACTTCACCTGCGGGCCTTTTTGCAAATTGTGCGGCACTCGCGATGGGGCGGGTACTCGGTCCTGCTTCTTCTGCTTTCAGACTGGCTTTGTAGTCGTCCACGTCTTTCTCAGCTTTGGCCATCAAATCATATGCTTGAGAAAAGTCTGTAGTAGTCAGGATGGACACGTATGGCCGAATGTCGGGACGCAGCCTCTTGCGAAATTCTTCAATACGGTCTGCCGGCGTGGATACCAGCGTAGTCGCGAACTGAGCTAGGTGATCGAACTTTTGTCGAAGCTCGGGGAGAGTCATGTCTCCTTGCTTTAGCTCTATGAACTCCGTGCGTTTCTCCTCTCTGAAGCGAGCTGGTATGTACTCCTTCTTAAACGCCCAATCAAAATGCTCCCATGTCCAAGGCTTAGGCGCTTTCTCGTCTGCGCGCTTCCACCACTCGTATGCTCCCTTAGGAAGGAGCTGGAAAGCAAGCTCAGGACGTCTCGCGTCTGGAACACTCAGATTCTTCAACACTCTTTCTGTCTGTTCAATCCAGTCTAGTGCAATCTCGGGATCAGAGATCCTATCCCCATGGAACTCTTCAGCACCATTGTCCTTTAGCATTTTCAACGTGACTTGCCTGGGAGGCGGTGGCTGGAAAATTGGCGCGTTCGCCATTTGCTGCAGAAATTGCATCAGGAACACAGGCATAATCGGGTCCTGTTGAGCCTCCACGTTTTGTTCCATGTTCTGGGTCTCGTTTTGGTTATTTGACGATTCGCTCATTCTATACATGACAAACTTTCCTAATTAGTTACTAATACATAGTAAGCAAGTACTCAAATTTTGTTACCTTCCTGAGGCAGAGGAGTTGCGAGAGATGCGGATGCTGCTGTTGAAGTACCTTGCAACCAAATTAATATTTTTTTTTTGAAACATTTTTTTTTCGAATCTTTTTTTTGAAAGAGTCTGAAGACCGGGTTTAAAACCAATTGTTCTGATACCAAAATGTAACACCCCAACCCGCGTGACCCGAATACAAGGATCAGCGGATCTGGTTGTCATTAGATTGGCATTCATACATAATAATTTTCAAAACAATTTAAAACATTTAATTCAAAACAATATTTAAATATTCATCAGAGTAAATCAAAACGTTGCAGAAGCCTTTAAGTACTTAATCGAAATACAACTTTGGGTTCTTGCCCTAAAGAACATAATAATTCAAACTTACATATTAAATAATAAACTCCTCCAGCTAGCATCCATCCATCTCTTCACCCCCGCTGCCTCCAAGATCGTCTCATTATTCATCGTTCCTGTTACCTACGTGTAGCAAATAGGAAAAAGGGCTACACGCTCAGCATTGAAGCTGAGTGGAATTTATCTAACGTTTGACTACGCACATAGACGAACCCGCTAGCTCATAATTCCATACAATATCATGCACATAAGCACAACATCAATAATATCACATAATTCATCAGTTAAGCATAATTACCATAAATAACAAACTTACCTCATAATCCACTTCTTTATCTCTAGGCTCATAACCTATCCTAGGCTAAGGCCAACTACTTTATTCTAGAGTCCTGATTCAACCACGTCCATGGAAGAACCCGCTCGATACGACGTCATCCAACGTCGGCTGGGTGGGACCACCTACTCACATCCATGAGCAGATCTACGACCCCCGTGCGCACGCTCTACCCAACTGATCATGCGTGCACGCCGGCTCATCACATGACCAGTGATTCCTAACTGTATCCTTATTCTGTTTCCTCGGTCTACCTATAATTCATCTAGGTAACCTATCTCATTAACTTACTTTAGTTATTCACATCCAAGCTAACAACAACATCAATTTACTTTATCCGTTTTAAGACATATCACATTATATCCATAATAAATCAAGAGAGTAGAAATAGCTAAATAAATCATCATGCAATCCAAATAGCGGCCTAATGTCGGGTGTAAACAACTTCCATTTACCGTCATGCATTACATAAGGGCTCAAAGTCAATTCAGATTCCAAATTGGGTCAAACAATAAGATAACGGAAACTACAACTGTCGGTACGGTACCCGTCACGGTACCTTGGTACCGTCTGGCGGTACCTTGGTACCGTCCTACCGTCGAGCTTTAGATACCGATAGCAGCGTTTTGGCCTGAGGCGGTAGCTGGGTACCGTTAGGCAGTACCAGGCTACCGTTTGGCGTCGGGAATTTCCTAAAACAAGTCAGTTCGATCCAATTCCAAATCATTCATTACGTATTATGTTTTTAAAGATTATTATCATGCAAATCACACCAATTGAAGGTAAGAAAACATACCTGGTCATCCTCGTTCCACCAATTCCAACAATAACATATAATATAATTAAATCATAATTTGATTATAAACAAATAAACCACGTAATCAATCGTACGAAACTACGAACGTGAATTTCAAATCTACATACATAATCTAGTGTTAGATGTGCAAGTTCTGACCTCGATTTATTGACGAATTAGACAAATTAGATAAACGGAGAAGACGAGACAGCGGCAGCGGTGTTGAGTACTGGTTCCGGCGATCCCCGCGGCGGCGGCACAGGAAGATGGCGGTGGTGTCGAGCTCCTTCCTCCCGGCTCTGGTCTGCGGCTGCTCTCTCCCTCTCTTTTACCGTCGCACAAAGTATTCCGTAGGTTTGTTTCTTTCTCTTTTTCCTTCTTTTTGTGTTGTGTGCGTGTGTAATATATAAGGGGAGGGAAGGGGATTTCCGTATCACGGTAGGAGTAGGTTAGTTTAGGATATTTTCTTTTTATTATTTTATTATAAAATCTTTATATTTCTTTATTGAACTGTAATGTCTATTTTACTCACCACGCTATACACGTAAGTCCAAATTTAACAAACTATATACCGTTGCTCATCATTTTACGAGACCTATCCGAAAACCCAATTCTCATTTAAAACGGACAATTCTACAAATAATTCATATTTTTGAGTAAATAAATTTAATATTTATTTTTTTATTAAAAATCACGGCTAACTACTAAGCCGGATTTCAGGTCGTTACATGTCCTCTGGACCCCAAGCGAATAGCACTTTGAACGCTTGGAGGACCTCCAAAAACTGCCCCTTTAGTCTAAGTGGTAAGGTTCTACCTACCTTTACCTTCCGCTCTGGCTTAGTTGGATCCAGAGAAACTTCTTTGACTTCTTTTGCTGGCTTAGCCCAAGGTCGCCCTTCTTCCTTTTGAATTGCAGCACAGATCGTGCTTACATTCTCGTCGACCCGCGCTTGGCTTTTGGTCGCCCTAACGTAGCACGACCGTGACAAGCTCTGGTTCCCCTTTGCCACCCCCACCCCTGTGGGGGTGTTGAACTTCAGGCACAGGTGGACGGGGGAGATTATGCACTCCAGGTCCTCCAACCCTGGTCGCCCTAGAATCAAATGGTGTGCACAGTCGAGCTGCACTACCATGAATTCCATGTCGATCCAGAGTCGGTGGGTGCCATCTCCTACCCCGGCCCTCACCGTGATAGTTCCTTCAGCTTCGATAGTATCCCCTGTGAACCCTGACAGTGGCGTATGGATGGGTTTCAGGTCGCTCTTAGACAACCCCAATTCCTTAAAGGTGTTGCTGTACATAACGTTGACCGAGCTGCCCGTATCGACCAAAGTTCGGTGGACAACCACATTATTGATTTCTACCTTTATCACCAGAGCGTCCCTGTGAGGGCTGAGGTCTGGTGGATAATCCTCGTCCGTGAAGATCAGGGGCTCCTTCTTCTTCCGCTTAGGTAGCGGCGGCCTTTGTACCTCGGCCAAGTGCACCATGTTCTTCCACTTCTTCCGCGAGGATACCGAATCTCCTCCAGTATTTCCTCCTATGATGAACCGACACCCTAGGTGTCGGCGACCCTGCCTTTCCTCCTCATCTAGGTCGTCACAATCTCTCCCCAAATGTCGTCGCCCATCCTCCTGCCCCTCTCCTGCCGTGATCGCCGCTGTGGGGGATGGAGGTCTCCTCCAGGTCCGGTTACTTGAGGACGGTTGCTCCGACCGAGGAGGCGGCCCCCTGGCGATCAACTAATCCATCTCCTTCTTCAGCGTAACGCACTCCGACGTGTTGTGGGTGCTATTACGGTGGTACTCGCAATACTTGGGTGCATCCTGCACTCCATAGCTTTCCCGACTGTGAGGGGCAGGCAAAGACTGTACCGCGTGAACAGGATGTCTGTTCGCATGATACCCGGTGGGGTTCGGCCCCTTACCGTAATCCTTCCTTTTCTTCCCTTCTGCCACTGGTGGCCCGCTTTTCTTCTCCTTCCGGACTGGCGGCTCATCGTCTTCTTCTTCTAAAGCCAGGTATTTCGCCCTGGCCAACATCTCCTGATAAGTCGAGAGAGGATTCCGTCGCAGCTCTTTGCGCACATCCCCCTAGGGGAGTGCAGCTTGGAGCATGGCGATCAGGGCTTGGTCGTCCGCTCCTTGGACGTCCCTGGCCTCCTTCTCCCACCTATTAATGAATTCCCGGAGCTGCTCTCCTTTCCAAATCTTCACATTGAGCAAGTGCGAGAAGGGGAGCTTTTGTCTTCGGCTGGATGCGAAATGCTCCAAGAACTTGTGGGCAAGGTCGCTCCACTTATCTATCGATCTATTGGGTAACTTGTGGAACCACTCACAAGCCTGCCCTTCCAGTGTCGCCAGGAAACACCGACACTTGATTTCTTCTGGGTACGCATACATGACCACGTTCACCCCGAAGCGAGCAAGATGGTCCTGGGGGTCACTCGTCCCGTTGTACGCCTTGATCTGGGGAGTCTTGAAATTGTCCGGGAGGGGACAAGACATTATCCTTCTTGAGAAGGGTGTTACCGCCTTGATCTGGGGAGTCTTGAAATTGTCCGGGAGGGGACAAGACATTATCCTTCTTGAGAAGGGTGTTACCTCGCTGAAGACCGCCTGGCGGTAGGGATTTTTGGCGTCCATCCGCTTCTCCAATTGTTCGTACATTCTCCACAGCTCGGCTGCACCTTTGTCCTCGACCGTCGTCCGTCGCTCCTCAAAACTAGTCTTGGAGGTCGTTGTGGACTCCCCTCTTTTCTCCTTGAGCGTATCCCTCAAGTCACCCTTTCGGGCAGACTGAGTGTCCTGCAACCGTTCGAACACAGAGGTCCGGGGTTTCTTTGACTTGGGATCTCTCAAACGGTCAAAAGCAGACATCCGTTCGAAGGAGGACGACTCTTCGTCTAATCTGGAGAGCGCATCTTCCATCACAGCCTTCCCATTAGGCTTGGTCGTCTTCTTTTTCTGGGACCGCCTCACTTTCTTCTTTTTCCCTTGAGAGCCCGCAGGTCCAGCCTTCCCGCCTGCGGGTCCCCCAACCACATCCTCCACCACAATCTCGCGATTGGGTGTAAGTGCCGCCAGCACCTCCTTGAATTGTTCAGCTGTGATTCCGACCCTCTGAATGAGGGCCTCTGCCTCCCCCGTAGTGATGGGGGGTGCCGACCTCCGGTGGCGCTGTTTTCTCCCTGGTGGGGAGCTCCGGTACCAACGTTGGCGTTGCTGCGTGTTTGCACCATCGTCTTGGTGGAGGGTTTCTTCTGAGTATGACTCTCGAACTCTCAACAAGAGAACCAATTTGATGGACAATAAATCCACCAAATGATCCGATTCAGAAAGCGGATCGTAAGAATCTAATTAAGAACGAGAGTTCGAGAATTGAGTATGTATTATTAGCTTGATTTTGCTTGAGTTCTCCCCTTTCGGGTCTCCTCTATTTATACATGAGCCTTAGACAATTAAGGTAATGCATAATCAATGGAGTCTATCCCGTCAATGGCGCGATCCCCTTTTTCCGGCTTCGTCTCCGCCATTCGGTTCCGTCTCCTCTTCCGGATGGACTCTGCCAGCTGTTCCTGGACCGGAGGTGACCGGGCCTAACTCTACGGGCCGTCCCGAGCCTGGATATCCTCCAAGCGCCTGACCCAAGTTGCTTAAATGGTTCATTTGGGCCGCCCGGTGGGTATCGGCCCATCACTTTCATTGTTTGAAAAATATTCACTCTTCACTCCTTCAGTTCTCCTTCTGAAACTAATAATTTAGTATCAATTACAAAATAAATTGAGAATTAAAAGGAGACATAATATATTCTTAAAAAAATCATAGAGGTGCAAAATCAATATCAAAAGTACCTAAGGTGCAAAAAAACTCCATAGTATCTAAGGTAAAAAAATCCAAAGTATAATTCTATTATATACGGAGTATATAAAAACTTAAACAAAATCATGATTTCAATTTCAATTTTAATTGGAGCATTCAATGGCCGAAGCCCTTACTCAGTTACTGCCTCGGTGCCTCCCCCAACCCGACACGCCTAAGCCAGCCGGCCACCTCCTCCAGTCGGCGAGTCTTATGGTGTCTTCAATTCCCGCACGCCACACCAAACAAAATCAAGGAAAATTTGTAATGGAATTTGAGAGGGTGAGATTATCCAATTTAAGATGAGGGTTTGAATGGAGGCTGTGAGGCTGTGATTCGGTCCAAGGATAAGGTGGCTGTGTATTTTTTTATTATACCCAAAATGACATCGTTTTGAGTATTAAATTTAATTTTTTTTTAGAGTGACTGCAGGTGACGCCACTTGCACCATAGTGGGTCCGCCCCTGACGACCACCAAATAAATTTTCCCCAAAAAGTGTCAAATTTATGTTTGTGGGATATCCTACGGGCACTAAAGGTTAGCGGGTCTATGATCTTGAGTCTCATTGTTTTTTTCACACCCAGGATATTTCGTTTGACGTATCCATCTTTCTTTTTTTCATTCCTAAAAACTCTCCCACCCCAGATACTTCCCCCTGTGTACGCTGAGTTCCCCACCCAACTTGCTGCGGCCGAAAACTCCCCCCAACCCGCTGATCCCCCCTTCGGCAGCAGCCCTAGTCCGTCGCCATCTTCCAGCAGCAGTGAGGCCTCATCTGATCCGGACAGCCCGGTAAGTCCTCCATCCCCTCGACCTCCCCACTTATGCCCACAGTCCATATACGTCGCCCCCACGCCCACCTTTCCGACTATTATTGTCATACCGCCCTGTTGCTCCTTCTCTTGTCTCTTCCCGCTCTTCAAGTACTCGGTATCCTATCCATAATTTTGGTCATTATGAGAAATTGCATGACAGGTATTGTGGATTTCTAGCTGTCGTCTCCTCACAAGAAGTTCCCAAGACTTTTAAGCAAGATGCAAACTGGCGGCTAGCTATGCAACAGGAGATCGACGCCTTGGAGAATAATCATACTTGGGACATCACAGATCTCCCTCCTGATCGAACTGCTTTGGGTTGTCAATGGGTATTTCGCACCAAGTTCCGATCTGATGGTACCAAGGAGCGGGATAAGGCTTGCCTAGTGGTCTTGGGGAATCATCAAGAATTTTGTAACACCCCGATCCGCGTAACCTGGTTCACTTGGGTTAGCGGGCCGGGATGATAGCAAATTGGTAAAGTAACATTCATAATTTAAAAAAACATTTTAATAATAATAATTCAAATGATTCAAAACGTCAACATTACAAATTGTTTTGGTGAAGGGAAATAATATAACGTTACAGAAGCTCAAAGAATTTAAAATAGTACACACGTGGGTTCAAGACCCAAAATTATTCAAACTTTAATTTATTTAAAGAAAAGGTAATGAAGGTGAAATTGTTCCCACACCCATGCCACCATCTCTTCCGCCTCAGCGCCCTCCGGGATCAGCACCGTCAAGCTTCTTACCTATGCACAGTCACACAACAAAGACAACTATGCGCTCATCAGTGAAACCGCTGAGTGGTACCACAACGTAGGATCTATAGAATTATTCATAATCACAATCAAATAAATCAAGTGGTAATTATCCCTTTTTATATTTCTATCACATCTATAATAAAAGTTAAATCACATCCTTAATCATTTTTCCATCTTTAAATCCTTTTAATCCTCGGCATACCATGGAGTCAATCTCCATAGAGAAAGGACTCAATAAGACTTCCCCTGTCTGAGTCTGGGTCCGAGCGCCCTTCTCTTCAGGTTCAAAATTTGTTCCGTGGCCTTTCCTAGTCTGGGTATAAATACTTTTCTGGTTCCGGACGCACAAGTTGAGTGATCCCCAGGCGCGTGACCGGTTCTAGGACCTTGTGTACGCACATACTCAACTTCTATTATCGCCCACATCTATACACTCAAATCCATACTATTTACCACTAGAAATAATCTAGATTTAAACTTGTTGGAATGCATGAGTTCAACCCTTTCTGTGTTGTTAAGTATTGACTCACAGGTTTTGATAATTGACAAACACAATTTATTCAAGTCAAGATCAAAGTGCTACAACGACAAACACGAAAACTTGAAAAACACGAAGACTTGAAGTGCCATTCCTTGAAATATTCAAGAAGGTGCACATGATTTTATTGGAGTCTGAGACGCGTTCGGAGCGCCTAACGGAGGACTCGGAGGAGTAGAAGATTTCCGAAGACTTTTTATTTATTTGAGTCGTAGGAATATTTGTAAGGATGACAAAATTATCTTCTCTCCAAAATTATTTTTATGAGAGTTAAAATAAAAATTATATTTATTTTTGGAGTCAGTTGAAAAATCATTTTAACTGTTTAAAATAATTTTATTGAGTCAGTCACAAAAGGTGTGCCAAACATTTATCAAATATTTATTTTGATAANTATCTTCTCTCCAAAATTATTTTTATGAGAGTTAAAATAAAAATTATATTTATTTTTGGAGTCAGTTGAAAAATCTTTTTAACTGTTCAAAATAGTTTTATTGAGTCAGACACAAAAGGTGTACCAAACATTTATCAAATATTTATTTTGATATTATAAAATATTTTTGGTAAGCAAAAATATTTTATTCAAATATTTTTCGTGTACATCGTTTGACACACAAAATATTTTTGGGACTCAATTTCTACACCAAAATTCTTTAATTAATTCAAATTTTGAATTTGAATTAATTCTTTTAAACTTACTTGGTTTGTTTGTTTTTGGGAGCCTTATAATGTTGTTATCTTGTCCTAAACAAAGCATTAAGCTCCAATTTGTACATCCCACTCGCACACATGTTTTGGGTCCTCGTGTTTGGGCTCTGTCCGTCAGTGGATCGATCCTTCCTTGTGGATCGATCACTTCGTTTTGTGCTCAGGGATTTGGATCAATCCATTTCCTTGGATCGATCCGCCGAAGCCGTGCAAAAATTCTCTTCCAGAATTCTTGACTCCTTTGGATCGATCCCTTGCCTTGGATCGATCCCCCGAAGCTTTGAGAGTAACTCATTTTCGATCCATTACTCCAGGTGATCGATCCTCTCCCCTTGGATCGATCCCCAACGGCTTTTTTTCTGTCAACTTCAGTCTTCCCCACTTCCAACGGATTTATTTCTTTTTCCTCTATTTAAACACTCTTTCTTGGTCATTTTTAAGAACAAGAAACACTCCAATTCTCTCCATTCTTGAGGTGTTAATCCTCCATCAATCTTTCCTCAAATTTATATTATTTTGAGAGAAAAGCATTTGTTTTTAAGAGAGTGTTTTGTCTTCCATTAGAGCTTTAATTATTTCTCTTATCTACTCTTTTGAGAGCTATTGTTGAGAGGTTGAAGAAGAGTGTTCTTCTTGTTGTTCAAGGCTTATGTGATTTAAGTCTTGGTTGTGAAGTCTTGTAGAGGTCATATCTACGAGCGGTTGTGTCGAGGCTTGTGGGATTCAAGTTCTCGAGTTGTAAACGGTTTGTTAAGCACCTGTAAGCTTAACAGAATTAGTGGTAGCTTCGAGAGAGTCTCTCGGGGAACTAGACTAGCCACGAGGTGGTGAACCAGTATACATCGGTGTGTTCTTTGCCTTCTCTATTTTATTTCCGCTGCACTTACGTTTATATTTTTAATCCTGCGAAAATCGGTAAACATTCTCAACAACTCTATTCACCCCCCCCCCCCTCTAGAGTTGCACGCCTTGTCTAACAAAACTAACCAAAAATACCTTTTTGGTTATTAGTGTCGCCATCAAAATCATCAATTTTACGGATTCGATCATATAAAGTTTTACCATAAAGTCTCCAACATAATATCGTCCCTAACATCCTTTTAATCATTAGACCTCATTTAATCAGGTTCATGGTTTGGATCATGTTAGCAACCCAAGTTTAACCCACATGATATATTACTATAAATATTTTAGTCTAACCCGTTCGATGATATTGTTTGGTTAATAATACATATTGGAAAATAAGGGTTGACATAATCAATTTTGGCGTTTGGGTTCTTATGTTCTTAAAAAATTCATTTTAAGTATTTTTAAAATATGGTTATAAGTCAAGAAAACCAATATCAAACATTTATCATCCATACGATATTGAAAAACGGCTAAAATTTCAGTTGGAACGTTGGGCGTTCGATCCCCGAAGGGGTGATTGAATCAATTTTGGTATGAAAGTTTTTCTAGTCAAAAACATTCCTTTTTTAGTGTTTTTGGAAGTTAAAATATGGTTATAAATCAATCAAACAAATATCAAAGATTTATCATCCATACGACATAGAAAAACGGTTCAAATCTGAGTTGGGGCGTCGGGTGATCGATCTCCGAAGTGGTGATCGACCCCCCCGAATGATAAAAATACGCGTTTTAACAAGTTTTGCTCCAGAGGATCAATCCAAAGGCTTGGATCGATCCCCCAAACCTTAAAAACAGGTTATGGGGCTCAATTCTATCACCAAGTGATCGATCCAACCCTGACAGTTCTTGTGGGTTTTTGGGTTCGTTTTAAGCAACGAGGTGGCTCCAAAAGTGTATATGTTGAATATATTTATTCTACTTTGATTCTCTAAGTTGTGTAGGAACATTTTAAGGGCTTTTTGGCACAATTTCGGCATTCTTCGGCATCGACGATTCATGGATATCAAGTTGAGCGTTTTATCGAGACTATTGGTATGACTAACATAATATGACATGTAGGTTTATGAAATCGTGTATTATGAATGATTCTAAGGAATCTAACGTCGGAACGAGTATGGGGTACAGACCTTAGAGCTCGTAGGGGAAACAATGATCCTACACCTCACGTACGTTCAACGAACGGCCGTCACTATCGACTTCTAGCTTTCCTTATCTTGAGGTCTTCTCTTCACACCTTGATATTGCAGAGGTATATGGCGTAATAGGAGCATTAGAATGAGTATAATAACGATAGGAATGAAGTATACTCACTTACCTAATATTAGCTTCTCAAACCTCCATTAATGGTGGATGAAGCTAGAGGATGAAGATGACCAAAGTTGCAGGGATTTTTCTAAGTGTGGGAGTGTGAATGAGTGAAGAGGGATGATCTCCTTTTATTAAAAATCAGAGATGCCCTTTGGGTCATCTCACACACACCCCACCATCACCATAGTCCAAAAATGATGAGAGAGGAAGGTGGGTGTGTGTAGAGTGGGTTGGGAACAAGATGATGTGTGGGATGGGGTTGATGGGATAAGTATAATTGTTAGGAGTGATTGGAAATCCTGGAGATTGAAGGGGAATGAATGTAGGTTTGGGATGAAATCTTTGTTCCGGAAGGAATAGTTTATTTGTTTGAATTTCAGGTCATTTTTTAAACGGAGTCTGATTGTGAAACCGATCACATTTTTGAACATGGAAAAACAAATGGAGTCTAACTACATGCCTACATCACTTTGGTGTAAAAAATATTCAGTAAAATTTTTAAACAATCTTCTTTGGACTTTGGAGAAGGATTCACACACAGAGATCAGAGCCTAGGGCAGTTTCCTAGCGCCGGACGTACCAAAAAGAAAAGAGAGGTAGGAAGGAGATCCAAGTCCCCAACGCCTTTTCTTCTTTTGAATTTGGTATTTAGGGTTTTTGAAGTACGGTTGACTGTTTTACTAGACTTATCGATCCAGATTTGTTTTAATATTTATTTAATTTTTTTGTTTCGGCAGATTAGTACTTCGGGGAGTAATATTTTCATGGTGGTAGATTAGCTTGCCGGGGAGCAGTCTTTGCATGGTGGTGGCAGTAAGGTAAGATCACTGTGCCAGAACATGGACAATTAATACAAAATTAATTAGTGGGTAATCTAATTTCTCCTATGCTAACATGGTTTATGGGTGCCATGGCGAGAATGGTGGCAATCTAGAGTCCCCTAGACGGGTATCGAACAAGCAAGAAGCAACTCGGCTCCGCCTAAAACATTGGGTCGATTACAGCATGAATGGGCCATTATATTCTATTGGGCCTGTGGAATTTTTCAAAGCTCCTTCATAAATACAAATTGTAAAATACCTCACTCCCTCATTACCGTCTCTCACCGCATCTCATCACCGTCTCTCACTCTCATAACCGTGCACCATATCTCATTCTTTGCAGTGAGGCCGATCTTCTCCACAGAAGTTAAATCAATTGTTCATCATCTTCCTCAACGTTGACACCGCGGCTATGGTACATTTGAATTTCAGCATTAATTACTTCATTTTCTTTAGTTTCGTAATTTAGGTTTCAAATCTATCTTCTTTCCATTGCTACTCTATATGTCATCTTTTTAATTTCATATTAATTCCATCAATTTTGTAGTTTGATCTCAAAAATAAGTTTGGATTTTGTTTAGATCTCTTTTTTAATAATGTAAACCCTAATCAATCCATTTTATTTTGATTTTTTAAAATATTTTGATTTATTTTTTACTCACTAATTTTTATTATTTATATTGCAAATATAGGATATATTGGTGAAAGTCTATTGATTGATGATGATAAAGAGGACAAATATGTCCCACCAACTGCTCATCATCTCCCTAGTTGCTGATGCATGGTAAATCTGTAATTTCAGCATTAATTTCTTCATTATATTTAATTATTAGGGTTTGAAATATATTTTCTTTTCATTTATATATGTCACCATATCAATTTCATATTTATTTCATCAATTTGTGGTTTTATTTTCGAAAACAAATTTGAGTTTTGTTTAGTGTTGATATTAATTCATCCTTTGTTATTTGGCTCGAAATCAGCCTTAAACTGCCTTTCAAAAATATTCCGATAACCTCAATCGTATTTTTCGTCA